AACATAGACTTATATAAATTAATAAGTTTGAAATCACCAACCCGTCTTGAGCGAGTGTGGTTATTAATGCTCTAACCTTCTCCATGTGAGAAGAGGCTCAGCAGTGGGCTCTGATAGGATGATGATGATGATATATTGTGTAATATTAGTTCATCTTCATGATACAGAGGTGATGAATAGCTTAGAGTGCTTGATAAAAACCAAGCATGAAGTGGAAAAGCTTGAAATGTTCAAGCTTAAACCTCTAAGGTTCCTTTGTAAAATATGTCATAAGTGAATCAATATTAAATCTTCGTAGATGGAATTAATGAAAATATAGTTGGAATTATGTTTGAATATAGTGATTTTGATGGGAATCTTACTAGCAAATAGATAAATAGAGTTAAGATAGTTTAATTTAGGATTTTTTAATAAAATATCACGCCACGCCGACGGTATAGCTGCTTTAGGGAAATATAATGACTATTAAATCAAAAGTTGATGTAAAAAAAAGAATTATAGTTCGTTCATTCATTCTCTAGAACTTAAATAGTATCAAATCTTTATTCATATAAGAAAGTCGTGTCAGTTACACTATTTATAACTCTAACGACTGTACGGATTTGGATGAAGATTGGTGGAGAGATAGATTAGAACATAGAAAGGACATAGGATACTTTACATGCGATTGAAAAATAAAATAAGTTGATCAAATACAATATCTTATCTACTGTCTTTAAGGAACAGAGTTCGCCCGGTCTATATATTACTAATTATGAAGCTAACGCAGACGAAGTCGCCGACAAAAACTAGTGTATATGCAATTATACAAATATATTAATTAAAATATCTTCGGTTGATCAGAAATTGGTGACAAATCCGTAACAATATTTTATATCAATACAAATTTAGGTCAAAAATTCGATAAAAAATTTCAAGTTTATCAAATAAAATTAAATATTTTTATAATTAAGTACATAAAAAGTATTTTAGATAAAGGTTAAACCTAGAACACACACTATTAAGATCTGAACGAGCTATTGCCAAGATTCTTAAGCGACTTTTTATTTGCATTCTACATTAGTATCATTCTTGTATTGCATCAAAAATGCCCGCAATGTAACTTTATTTACATAAACAACATCGGCTGTCAACATTTAGTCCGTTGACATAATTTAAAAAATACATTATGGCGGGCTGTCAAACCTGTTTACATTTTTTACGTACGCGCTACATATTAAAAATTAAGTAATACAAAGTCGCGGGCAAAAACTAGTACATAAATAAATTATAGACCAAGTGTTATGTACGCCCTACATATTAAAAAATAAATGAACATCGACATCGTTGTATGTATAAAATATATAACGAGTGACGCCGCTGACTCCGCGTAACGAACACCAAGCCGTGTGAACCAGAAGATTCCTGATACACACAAGCTATGGAATGGTATTGCTATCATAACATCGGGACAATCATGGAGTCTTAGGTGTAGGTTATAAGTTTTAATATGTAATTCTTATTATAATATACATACACATAAGTTTCGTAGTTTTCCTTCAACCTCTGTTTGCCACCCTACATAGTTCATTTCATAATAATTATTGTTTTAGTGGAATTATGGAATAAATTAATTTTCAGTAGTAATATTACGTATTCGTATAACAAAACATAACGGTCAAAATAAAAATCTTAAATAATTAAAAACGTGCGATGCGTAAAATCATAATCGATTAATATGGTGTATAGTGTTAAGGAAAAATATAACTCGTAATTCGTTATTTTCTCGTCAAAATACTTACATTATATAAAGATTTAAATATCAGTTCATCAGGAAACACACTCTTCTTCTTCCTGGCAATTTCCCAGCTTTAGCCAGGGTCTGAATCACATGTTGTGAATAGTTTTTGCTAATTGTTTATACGACCGACCGCCTGCCTGACATCAACCTTCTTTTTTTTGGAACACACTATTATTTATTATTCTAACACAACCATCATGAATGGTCAGAAATTTATTTACTAAACTAGTTTTGGATCCCGACTTCGTCACCGTAATTAAGCTTATTTTTTTAAAATGTAGCATTAAAAAATACATACAACCCAAAATTTTTACTCTTTTATCACCGATACCTATTTTTTTATGGCAAAACAATGTTTGCCGGATCATCTATATATATATATATATATATATATATATATATATATATATATATATATATATATATATATATGTGTCTGATTAAAATTATTTGTAATTGGATACACTCATTGGATAACAATCAGTTGCTTATCTTAAAAGATAAGCTAAAATATCAATTGTTTAAATAATTAATACATATTAAACTAATTAAATATAGTGACTTTGTTTAAACAGCATTCCTACATGTATTAATTATTATTAATTGATAAATCCTTCCTTTAAACTTATTAAGATACATATAAATGCTGATCCGACAATATTATGCAACAAAATTTTTCCTCCGCATTTATTTGTAAATGAAATCTATTAACTGATTATAAAAAATGTTAGTTGTGTATTATGCAAGTTTGTTTGTTTGTAACAATATAACTATGAAAGTTATTTATTAGAATAAAAAATAATTTTATCTATATAATGAGGAGAGTAAATTGGTCAAATTACATACATACACACATATATATTTAAATTAATATTTTTTATATAAATAAATAAATAATCAACATATTTGAGTAACAATTTCCACAAATATTAAATTTCAATATACAGTAGGACCTCGATTATCCGGACTAATTGTTGTCGGTAGGCATCCGGATAATTGAAAGTCCGGATAATCCAATATATGAAGAAAAACGGGCTTTTTGCATATGTACATATGTAGTCTGTACCATACATATGTAATGTTAGTTGTTTATTTAAAACAACAAATACATATGAGCGAAAATCAACGTTTATTAAGAAATTGTACATAATGTACGTATAAGTGTTATAAGTAGGGCCCGGATTAATATGTAAATACATATTTTTAATTTACGCGATTTTCGGTCTAGAATGTGTTTTTTACATGGATTGTCATATTTAGACTGTGAAAAACCAACTTTTATTTTCCATATTTTACCATATTTCAAAGTTAAGTCCATATTTTACAAGAAAATGTCACAATCATCCATATATTTACAAAAAAACATAAAATTTACGTTCCCGGCACTAATGTTTTGGATAAAAATAAAGGACTTAAAACGCTAAAAAATGAACAAAATTCTGTGCGAAAGTTTCGAAGGCTGTAGACATGGCTTACACAATTACTGAATTAAGCATGTTTTAGTATGCATCCATCACGTCATGTGAGTGGAGAGATCATTCAGCAAATATAATGCTATATGTCGACCAAATGGTCAGTTTTCATTTTGATAATTTAAAGAAGGACGTCATTGTGTATTGCAACCAATTTGATAAGGCTAGTGTAATGGAAGTTGAATAAAACTGTTATTTTTTGTTGAAATAAATATTTCACTCCTTTTTTTTAACGTTTTTTAAATGTTTCTTATCGATGTACGTCACGAGTGACCCTTTCTTATACTAAAACAATGTTTAATTATGAAATTATTTAATTTTATACTCCATATTTTTTGATTTTTTCGTTCATATTTTATGTACATATTTTAGATTTTTTAATACATATTTATCCGGGCCCTAGTTATAAGTAGTGTGGCGTTATGCAAGTTCTGACATGTTAATGTTAGAATAAACTCGTCGCGATTGGCAGTCCGGATAATCGCGAATTCGGATAACCGAGGTCCGGATAATCGGGGTCCTACTGTACATATCAAATATCACAAAGCCATAAATTTATTTAAAAATAGATTCGATGGAAAAAGATATATACATATATAACTTAGTTTATTATTGGATAATTTTAACTACAATAGTATAATTATGTATAAGAATTAATTATTTATTTAAATTTTTTATAATGTGATGTATTTGTGTAAAAAAAATCTCAACCGACACATGATAGTCAACAGTGTAATCTCTAAAGATTTTATCTTAAGTGCATACTCCACACAGGCTTTTATGTTGCTTGTTGAACATTATATTAGATTAAAACTGAACAAAAATTATTTCAAAGATATTTTAAATTAAACTAAATAAGTTTTTCTTATATATAATTTTACGTTTTCTCGAATTTTTTTACGTCAATCGATCTCCGCCGACAAATATTATAGGTTTAAATAATTAAAATTTCGATTAAAAATTAGTTAAATATAATTATATGTATATTTAAAAACAAGATTATCGTTAATGTATTTAATAATCAATAATGAATTAAAACATTGATTTTATTACTCGTAATTAAAAAGAGGTTTTTGTAAAAAAGTTTATATATGTATGATTATTTAATATAAGCACTTACCATAACATAAACCCGTCCAGCGTACACATACAAGCTTGCAAAACAGAATAAATTAACAATATATTTATCACATGATACAGCACCATAAAATTATAGGAAAAAACTCTCATTTATTATATTTTACACTTAAACTTTTAAAAACAACACTACGATTGTTACTTTTTTATTGAAATCACATAATTTAAATTAATTAATAACAAGAAAATCATTTATTACGTGCTTTTTGAACTATGATAAGTCTCTAAATAATTTTTTTTTGACGTAATACAGACAGTTATGTTGGAGTTGCCATGTATAAAGGAAGAAAATTATTGATTAAAACATAAAAAGTATTAATAGGCTAACTTTATTTCATATTATATATATTTTTTAATTATTATTAATATTTAATTTATCTTTATAATTGATTTTTTATTCGACTTTTTATGTCATTTTACTGACAGTTGACAGAAGTTGATCGATACTAAATATGTGTATAGGCGGCAATTATAGTGAAAAATAGCGTATTTTCACTAAAATTACTTGAAATTTTATAAAACAAAACTATCTACATAAGTTTTAAAACCATTAAATTTCTTTCTTGAGAATAATCTTCGCTTTAAGTCAGCTTTTTTAGTAGTAAGCCCCAATGGAGGATTCAGAGCTAGATTCTTCCGAATTAGGTACTTATAAATATTGGCAGGAAGCTTATAGTAAAGAAATAAGCAATTTCGAAGATCACGGAGATACTGGAGACGTGTGGTTTGGTGAAGACAGCGCCTTGAGAGTCGTAAGATGGATATCAAGAAGTGATTTAGCCAAAGACACAGCTATCATTGATTTAGGTAACTAAACTCTATGTACCTACTGTGTAATTAAACTAATTTGACCAAAATTATATAAAGCAGAATAATATATATAGTAATGTCTACAATTCGTATAGATTTTTTTTCATTCAATTCCTTAGTCTTTCCTCCATATAGTAGTGATGTAATTTGTCCAACAAATATTCAAATTGATTTCATTTGATAGTATTATAGTTTAAAATATAGTAATTAAACTTAAATTAAATAACTTTTAGTTGTGATATGAGAAATCTTCTAATTAAAAACACATAATATGTAGTTCATTTTGTTTTGAAATCCATTCATCTAGTAAAGAGATGAGCCAGAACAAATGATGTATGAAAAAAGTTATGAAAATTGCAGTTTTAGTTAAGACTTATTACTGTTTTTAATAGAAAATTAAACTATTGTTCAAGATACAGTTTGTCTTGATTTTCAATGTTCATTGTTACTTCCAGTCATGTTACAAAATGTGTGAAGCCAGTATGTATAGTTTACAAACACAAGTTGATACTTATGTTGATACATCACAATGGTTCAGTATTATCATTCATTATAATCACTCATCATAATAATTGTAAGGATTATAGTGGGTTGTAATTAGTATAACACAGATGGCCCCTTTAACTAAATATGTTCAGTCTTGATAAATAGCTTATATCTTGTCACCAGGTTGTGGAAATGGTTACACATTGTTGGAACTAGCGAGGGAGGGTTTTACAAATCTACTCGGCATTGACTACTGCCAAGAAGCAGTGACTTTAGCCGAGAAAATTACAAACGAAGAGTTCCCGCTGATAAAATATAAGGTTGGTACAATAAACCAAGTCAATGGTATCCTAGTGGATAAAAGAGCCGCCTTTTATGCACGAGGGCGCGGGTTCGATCCTGGCCCGGGCAAGTATCAAGGGCATGTTTCCGAGTCATGCGCTTTCAAAGAGTAATTAGACATCACTGATTAATGCATTCCCAAAGTGGGTTGATGTCAGGCAGGCGGCCGGTCGTAAAAACAATTAGCCAAAACTATTCACAACATGTAAGGCAGACGCTGGCTAACGCTGGGAAATTGCCAGATAGAAGAAAAAAAACCAAGTATATATGTGTTATTTAAAGTCTATAACTATCTTTTGGTATAAAATTTTGATTTTGTTTATAATGTAATAGCCATTAGCCAACTATGTGTTTGTATCATCCTACTAGATACGGAGAGTTTAAAGTTTGCAATTTATTAATCATTATAAATGATATTGTGACTTCTACCTGGCAATATCCCAGCTATAGCCAGGGTCTGAATGAACTGCCTGTGACTATATATACATATATATTATGTTGGTTTCTACGGATTTACATTTAAAGATATATATACATATATGTATAATTTAAACTATTATTATTGTTAAAATAAATGAAATAATATATATTTTTTTAATTATAAATATTTTATTGTAAGAAAATAGAGACAAGGAACGACCACAAACAAATTAAAAAGTATCTCGCGTGTTTTCGCGCTAAAATAGAGGCCGCTGAAAGTACAATAAGAATGTAAGATTTTAAAAAACTTATTTTCAATACTAATATATTTTAAACATTATTTACAGGTATTCGACATTATAAACGATGATGTGACAACTCTCGGTAAATTCGGTTTAGTTCATGATAAAGGGACGTACGACGCTATCAGTCTTAACCCGGAGAATCAGAGAGGAAATAGAGTGAAATACATAGAAAAAGCAGCACAACTAATAGAAGATAATGGTGAAATATGATTGAAATGAGTTTTTAAGTATAATGAATACTAGCTTTCCGCCCGCAGCTTCGCCCGCGTGGAGTTCGGTTATATCGCGTTTCCAAGAGAATCTTTCAAGTCGTGAATATAAACTATCCTATGTTATTTCTCAAGGTCAACTCTGTCTGTACCAAATTTCTTTAAAATCAGTTCAGTGGTTTAGGCGTGAAAGCGTAACAGACAGACAGAGTTAGTTCCGCATTTATAATATTAGTAGGGATAATATAGAAATATATCCTTAGAACAAGTCGGTATAGTAAAAACGTGATTGTAACCGTTTTTTTCAATAATAAAACTCCTCATACGATAGTTTTTACGTAAGTTGTTGATAGACTAATCAAAACGCGTATTAACATATTGATTATAAATATAAGCAAAAGATAAGAATATGTTTGTATATGTATATCTTATTCTTATATATGAAATTCTCGTGTCGCGGTGTTAGACAGAGAACTACGCAACTTCTGGACCGATTCTGATGAAATTTTGTGAGCATATTGAGTAGCTCTGAGAATCGGCCAACATCTATTTTTCATACCCCTAAGTCATAAGGATTGTCCTTTATTTTTTTTATTTTCGGACGAATTTTTTTGTTTTTATTTTTTATAATGTAGCATTAAAAATACAACCCAAAATTTTTATCACCAACCCCTACTTTTGTATGGCAAAACGTTTGACGGGTCAGCTAGTTTAAATGTAGTGTTATAATTAATATTTTTCGCAACAAATGATGAAGAAGACTTTATACTTAATACTACTAAAGAAATATGTTGTACTCACGTGAAGTATCCATTTTGAAGTTAACAATCCTTAAATCCTCATTAATTTCATTTTCCAGGTATATTCGTGATAACTTCCTGTAACTGGACCGAATCGGAACTAATAAAACAATTTGGTGACAAAATGAAATTCAAATGTGTTATACCGACGCCGCAGTTCAAATTTGGCGGGAAAGTCGGCAGCGTTGTATCATCTGTGGTGTTTGAAAAGATATGAAATATTAAAATATGTATTGTTTTATTTATAATTAAATATATTTTACTCAATAAAATGGCATATAAAATATAAATAGTGTTTTTGTTCTAATGATATTTTTTTAGCCTCGAGGTTAAGAAGGTTCTAAACCTGGCAAGTACCAATGTGATGTTCCCGAGTCATATGTACTTTAAAAAGAGTACTGTAAAAGAGTATTTAGACATCACTGACTGATGAAGGAAAACATCGTGAAGAAACATGGACTTATCAAATTATAAGTTGGAAATCGCTAACCCGTTTTGAGCGAGCGTGGTGATTAATGCTCAAACCTTCTCCATGTGAGAAGAGGCTTTGCTCAGCAGTGGGCTCTGATAGGCTGATGATGATCATTTTTATACAACTAATTTGACATTTATTTACGCGGGAAAACATTCGAAAAAATTGCTTGTACGTGAATTTTTTGTCTCAATTTTCTCCAAACCCAGAATTTTGGCAAATAAAACAAATCTAATATTCCCAATATATTTAACCTTTAATAATTTATTATGTTAACGTAATCACAAACTCAGCGTTAATCTACAGCTACATACAACTAGTTACCTAAATAAAACATTCAAAAAATCTCCTTAAAAGAGATATATATATAGTTTTAACTTAAATAATCCCAGCCGTAACATAATTTCCTTAAAATAAACAATTTGTATTTCATAAATGAATATAGGAATGTTTGTGCATATTAAAAATTACTATACATTTATAAACACCTTAATTACCATATAAAAGCTTACAAAGTCTAAAACAGTACAAAATGTAGGCCAAAATTTAAAAACAGACACTCTTAACATTGGCTGTACCTAAAAAGCAATTCCATAAAATACTTATTTAACAATATTTCTGTAATTTAAATCCTTACACTCAATCTAAATACAAATGATTTTACTTTTTTTAAATTATAAAATAGGAATAAAATACCAAAGCATTTAACAGATATTCAAAAAGGTTTTACGTACAATCAAATATGTGAAATACATCGTCTTTAGATGTTTGAATTTAGATTTAAATTTGGACATAAAAAAAAATACTTTTTTTTCTCTTATATTGTTGTCATATGTACATTTTGTATGGAAATTTTTTTCGTTTGAGTTTTAACTACAAATATACTATTTAACTTAACAAGACCTTGGTTATTGAGAAAGAAAAATATAATTTTTGATTACTTAGTCATGGCCGTTGTGTGATTTACAAGCTTGTGTTAAGTATTGACTAAACACTTATTTGAAGTCACAATAATATTACATCACATCGGAACACAAAATTATGTCGGATATGAAATTATTCAATGATTTAGATTATTAGGATTTTCTCATTATATCTGACTATATTTACACCAAATTCTATCAAAATCTATTTAGTTTGTGCTAACTTTAGTTACATATATGACATTCTTATACCCTTCTAAATTTGTTTCACAGAACTTAGTACATACACCTATTGGCGTTAGTACATGTAAGTTTTACTGCAAACTAGCTGTTTGTAGTTTATAATAGTAAGGATACAATTTTTTTTGATAATACATATATATCTAGATGTCTCTAAGATAGTAAATAATTTTTTAAACTATACTATGTTCCGACCTGAACTTTTTCCACCGAGTGTATCAACATCCAATATTTAATTGATAGATACATATTTAAAAGCATTATCAACACAGTTAGGCTATTATAAATCATGTCCATAGTAATAGTGGTTCCGAGCACCACTATAGCCTCGGGCTATATACGCTCACAATATCTGTCATTGCCGTTCGAACTTTGATAAATTAAAACACCTAGAATGACTACCACTATCGTTAATATCAGCGTAAACATCTGGTACATCTTTAATTTGTTTATCTGAAGATGCAGGACTTCGTAATTGCTTTGCAAGTTATTTAGAGCACTCACAACGGAATCCGGCTTTTGTTGGGTCTTAATATCAACTGTGTTGCCGTTCTTGGGCAATTCCTTGGTCGGGAATAGACATTTGAGACGATACTCATCTACTTTACTGCCGGAGGAATTCTGCCAGATCTCGGTGAGTTCTTTTGCTGTTAATTCAGTCTTCGGTATCTGTACTGACATGACGAGGAACATGTCTTTCACCATATTACGTACTTGGAAGCCGGATTGCACGACTATTAGTATCGTTTGACTGGTATTAGGTGTTAGAGTACCAGAACTGGGTCGAACACGAAACTTTTCAGGGGATGTTGTCCTTATTTTAAAGGATATAGCGCTTTCATCCATGTTGGTGATGGTGAATTGGCCGGTGATTTCTTCATTGTCGTGTTTGAATACGATTAGATTGCTCGGGTTAATTCTAAGCATTTCACCCGGTGAATGATTATCTCCTTGTTCAGCAAACGTAACTTTCTTTGGCGTGTTCCCTTGAGTTCTGTTCTCTGGTACGAATTCGAAAACGTAATTATCTTTGCCGCCCCAGCATACCAAAGCCTGTTCTGGCGCCACGAACTCTTTTAAAGTATCTTTATTAACGAATTTCATCTTTTCAACGCCTTTCGCTGGCAGTAATGATTTAATAAGCTTGAAAGCCGCTGACATAACCCAAGGCATTTGGTAGATAATAATATAGTTTAAAAAGCTCGGATAATAACTCTTGAAGAGACCGATCAAGTAATTAGTCAACTCCATATCCATATTATTTAATCCACAGCCGTCTAAATCAAAGAACAAAGTAACTCTGTTCCCGTTTTCCTCTCGCTCAATGCGATCGAACCAGTATATTATGATTTTTTTTATTTCCTCGAAGTCTTTGACGCCTTTGACGTGTTTTTTGGATTTTATGATCAGTAGGAGACAGCCATCGACGTCTCTGCCGTGGGGAAAAAACGCTCCTTCCGAGATATAGTCAGCGCTTATGTTGCTCTCGTTAATATCATTCGCGCCGACCGTTTTCCTCCAAGTGAATATATCCCATAGCATATCACTAGCTAATTTCGGGTCATTATCATTGTGTTTCATGACTCTCTTCATATATTTCTCATCTTTTATCCGTTCTAAGTCATAAGGATGGAAGCCGTGATCCGGATTTTCGTTTAACTTCGCCTGGAACAGCGACCGTACGTCCGCCGTGGTCATGACTATAATTTATACACAACACTCAGTCACTGCAGGATGTTATCAATTCAGAAGCTAGCGCAAAACAATTAAATACAAATCTACACTGCACTTATTTTGACATACATTCTGAGATCTATTGATAAGTGACATTTGGGTACTTGTGTAGTGTACTCGACTTTTGGACTCTGTTAACGATGCGTTCAGATTAAAAAATTCTTTAAATTTTACTTTACTTAAAAAGTAATTTTATTTAAGTATATTAAAACAAAAAATCTTCTGATTAATTACGTTTATATTAAACTCAAAAACAGAAAAAAGTTATTGTCCCTACACGGGGAAGAAGTGACACTTCATAACATCAGAAAGTAGAAATGAATTTTTAAGAATTTTTTTGGTGTGCTTAAGCCAAACTTTACCAACATTACTTACAATTCACTATTGATTGCCTGCATGTGTTCCATCGACACGCATTCCAACTCGTTGTCCCTTTTTAACCTCCCCTACAGATCGTTAAACGTTTAACGCAACCGTATTGAAAAACGCATAAGTTTTTACTTAAAAAAATTGGTTGTTTGTAAAGTAGGTTTACGATCGAGATGTTTACGTGATAACGTCTTATTGGTGATATAAGTTTTTGGGAAGTAAGGAATTAATGAAGATAACAATTTTTTCAAATTTTAAATTACATCTATCGTTTTCAACGAAAACTTAACCGCACGAGAAAATCTCCATTCGTTTGTATGCCGCTAGAGTGAGAGAGACGGAAGATCGGTCCACTCACTCGAACGCTATGCCTGCCTCCGCTCGTGAGGATTGCGCGTGACAAGTTTCACGGAATGACTGGCAGCGCTCGAGATGAGACGGGAGATCGGTCCGTCTCTCTCTCGTTATACCTGCGATCGCGCTCGTGAGGTTTTGGTGTGACACAAGTTTCTGAACATGTCACCCGACTAAAACGATTTTAAAGACGTTATCACGTCAAAAATTAGGTTTTATATGTAAAATATCGTTTTATAAAATATATATCGTTTTATAAAATGCACCCATTCATATTCTGACAAATCAATAATTTTCACTAAAATTATTATTTGTAAATCTTTAACAAAATTTATTACATTAATACACTTTTAATAGTAACACATTTTACTTTAAATTCCAATATTTTCATCAATTACATAATTTAAACCTACAAATAACCTTTATTTAGGGAAAAATGTTCAAATAAAACACAATTACCCTTAAAAATTTATTAATATTAATATATTGCGTGACATACACACATACATCAAGAGTCAAGTTTTTGTTGGTAAGGTTCAAATCCTCTGATGAAAATCATTTGAGAACATCTTTTATTAATGAAGATTTTTCATATGTTTACATTTCTAAGTTTACTAAAAGGTGTAAAGGAGTAATGGCTGGATCGATTTCGATGTAATTTGCGAAAAATTTAAGGTGGCACTTCACTTGGCGTTGCGTATTCGCCGCATTTGTCCAAATATCACAAACATGACATCCACACTTGGCATGCACACGTCTATACGTTTCCGTTTATTTGTGTATGTGTGTTATTTGTGCAAATATGTCAAATAAAGACGAATAATTTCACACATGGTCTTATTTGGCCGAACAACAAATAAACGCCTAGTGAAGTGCCTTTAAATTTGATAAGTCAGGTCTGCATATTAATGACTTATAAGCTTTTGATATATCGATGGCTCCTATGTATAGGGGCTAATGTAGCAATTAAGCCATTTTCATTTTAAGCTTTAAACACTTCATAATACTGTATTCTACAACATACATTTAAAAATATGTATTTGTTGGTGGAAAGACTTAGTTTTTATTGCAGTAAAAAGCATAAGTAACACACTTTTTAACATATAAAGGCTTATATATATATTTAAGAAACTAGTAGTTTTACAAAGTTTATCAATCTTAAATGTCGTACATGTATGTCATAGTTGTTATTCAAAGTTTCACAGCATCAGTTGTATGTACAAGATACATTGAAATCAAACTTAAAACGACTACTGAACAATTGTTTGCACATTGGCCCTTGATTTATACATAGGAGACATTGATATATGGGCATATACTTAATAATCTTCATTTTAATCATATTTTCCATACTAATGTTATTTTTATATGTATCCGGTGTGTTATTTGTGTTGTATGTGTGTCTATCAATAGTTATAATCGTCACCGTTTGCATCTTCTGGGTTATACTTATTTTCATCCTCCGGTTCTTGTTTGATTTGAACGTCCAGGGGCGGCAAGCTGAACTCGGGATAGTCTGATGAAGGAATAATAAATAATGTGATATGTGTAACAAAATATTATATACACATATATTAATTAACACAAGCAGGTTCTTAATCTGCAATAACTGGTAGATAAATTTCCAGCAGCTTATTGATGTTATAGTGAACATTTTATTTTCTATATAATTTTTAGTTCAAGTAATTATTTTGAAGATACAGTATAGCATTTGAAATAACAAAGTGTAATAATATCATTATTACACTTTGTTGAAGATTGCTGCTTTAGACACACATATACATTAATGTGTTTAATTAGATATATCCCAAACACCACAAAGTTATACATAAGCAAACACATATATCTCCTTACCATCCTGAGGTTCTTCCTTAATCTTAATATCCTCGGGCTTGATCTTCGTCTCCTTCCTATCCCTATCCCTCCTCCGCCTCTTATCCCTATCCTTATCCCTGTCCTTCTCTCTATCCTTATCCCTATCCCGACGTTCCCGGCGCCGCTCAGAACGGGAACGAGATCTCCTACGTCTGGTCCTGTAAACATAAGATGAAATTTTAAATATGATTGCTACTTATTGAATAATATCATTACATTGACCAATATATTTATATATATATATATATATATATATATATATATATATATATATATATATATATATATATATATATGTATGCACGTGGAATGCAAATCAAATTTAAAATCGGTTTAGTAGTTTAGGAGTCCATCGCGGACAAACACGTGACACGAAATATTTATATATACAGGGTGACTGGTGAATTACTATCGATACTTGAGGACGTGATATTTGACGATCATATATGACAAAATAAAAATTAATATAACATAAATATTAATAAACTTCTAAGTAAAGTTAACCAAAAGTTGTGTAATTAATTACGCATCGTGTGAACACCCTACAGATTAGGTATACACACAAACGCGCGTGCGGCGGCGTGTTGTTGTATCAGCACGCGTCCACACTTGGAACACTTGGAACGTGTCCACACTTTATTTATTTATACAGAAATTTTGTCAAAAATTAAGTACCTATTTTTTTTATATAGGGTGCGCCAGAGAAACTTACTTATTTAAAAAAATTACCGCGCGGTGAGTTGGGCGGGTAGAGGGGCAAGAGGGGGCGCATCTGGAGGGGGAAGTTCCCAAGTTTGTTTCTCCCTCCAGTCAGCTGCCATCATATTCTGGTTTAGAGAGCAGCGGGCCTTCGCAGTTGAGAGCTTCTTTTCTAACGGTCGCTCACTTGTTACTACGCAACGTGCCTTCCGCGCTCGCTTTGAAATTCCTCCTCACAGACTCGTTCCTGGCCGTAATTCGATTCTGTCGTGGTTTAACTCATTTCGGGAGTGTGGAAGTGTCGCTAAACCCAGAAATGGACTTCAACGGACCATCAGAACTCCGGAAAATATCGAAAGAGTGAGGCAGTCAGTTGTGCGTTCTCCCCGGCGTTCGGCTCGCAAACACGCAGCTGCTATGGGAATTTCTGATACCACTGTTCGACGAATTCTCCATGAAGACCTTCAATTTCATCCCTATAAATTGGCTGTTGTGCAAGAATTAACTGAACGCGATTTTGTTGCCCGTCAAAATGCATGTGAAATGCTGATTGACAACCTGCCTGAAGACGCGGTCGTTTTTTTTCAGTGACCAGGCTCACTTCCACATTTCCCTGGTTTATGTCGATCGACCACGGACCATAGCTCACCTCAAGAACAACATTCGCGACGCCATTACCAACATACCGATTAATATGCTGCGAAGAGTGGATACGAATTTCAAAAATCGACTTCATCAGTGTATGCGCAATGGGGGTCACCATTTATCCGATGTCATTTTTAAGACTGCATGAAAAAAAAATTGGGATATTGTATTCTCAAATAAAAAAAAAATTAAAACAATAACTGAAGTACTTTTTTTTTTATTGACCTTTCAAATAAGTAAGTTTCTCTGGCGCACCCTGTATAATTCGAATAAGAATCATGTACCGAGTATTCTCCTTAAATATTGATAGTAATTCACCAGTCACCCTGTATAAAGATACATATATGTCTGTACATTCATCTCTCTCTCACCTGTCAACATCTTCGTCTCTCTTCTCTCTCTCCCTCTCTCTCCTCCTCGGCCGAGAGCCTGACCTGCGACGGGACCTGGAACGACTGCGACCTCTACGAACACCTGGAATTAATAAATTGACATTATTATATATATATGGAAAGAAAAATATAATTTATGAAGAAAATTCATAGACAAACACCATATATAATTGTATAATATATAACAAAACTGTTACTGTTTGAGAACTTGTATAATAGATCATATTTATTATAATTGGGATATAGAAATACATAAATAATTTTAAATGTAGTTTCTGTTCTTACAATTTAGTGTTGTAAACTTGTTACATATTATGGAACCTAGTATAGATTGTAATTGTGGTAGAAAACTTAACAATAAAATTCTTTTCTTTAATAGGAACCATTAATCTTTTTATCGATTGTGTCATGCAAAATCACAACTTTATATGTATATAGGATCTATTTCAAGTAAAAACTCCACATAACTGTGATATGATAAAATGATGTGCTCTGTAAATGTGAATCGTCAACGGAGATGAGTTCATTAATATTTTGCACTCATAAAGAATTATAGTGTTATTATATAGACCAATTAAGTCAACTTTAATCTTTATATTCTTGACAATTTAAATATATTAGAAACACTTTCAATATTAATCTATTTTTAGTATGAGAGTTATAGCTCAGTTTGTAATGTCTCAAATGTATATGAGTATAGCGGGTTCGAGTTTGTATCAACATATATATATCTCTACTCACGCTCCCTGTCCCTCCTCTCATCTCTATCTCTGTCTCTCTGCTCCAGCCTGTATCTCTCCCTCTCCCTCTCGTTGTCTTCTCTGCCAGAGTGTTTGATGTTAACATCGGCGCCGCCTCGCCGCGTTCCACCCAAGCCGCCGCCTGAAAGAAAATTGATTAATTAATTGATTAATTATATTATTCTTGTTTGTTTCATCATCCTATCAGAGCCCACTGCTGAGCCTCTTCTCATATGGAGAAGGTTAGAGCATTAATCACCACGCTCGCGCAAGACGGTTTGATTTCAAACTTATAATTTAAGTCCATGTTTCCTCACGATGTTTTCCTTGATCTGTCATTTAGACGAGATGTGAATATTTTTATAATAATTATTTATAATGATCTAAGTATTTGTCTACTTCACAATTCTAAGCTTCACGTCATTTATATTCTAATATTTATTCGGAATTCTTATAACAGGCAGCTAGTGCTTATCTACATATTTGTTATAATAGTGTAAATTAATGTTAATAATATTTCTGTCCAAATGCTTAACAATTAGTTTTACAATTTATAATTAGGGCCTTGGCATGTTTTACACAATGTTAAGTGTTTTATTATTTAATAGATACTCTCATTATATTCAACTAGCGCCATCTGTATCATGTTATAACCTACCCTCACCTAAACCATTGAATATTATAAATACAAGTGTTAGACTGGAGATTTTGTTACGAGTTGTGGAGCTATAAACATATAAGTGGAAGTACTGCCCAAATTATTTCTATCAGTACTTTAAACGTCAAGTATTTCGTATATATATATATATATATATATATTCCTCGTACTAAAGTCTTTTTAAACTCACCCAATCTCCTCGGAAGCCATCCCTTCACAGTCCTAGCTCTTTCAACATCCACCAAAACTCGTTTCCCATCAATCTTCTTACCATCGGCGTGTTTGTAAGCGGCTGGAACATTATCACTTATAAGCTTATATCCAACTTGTAATTACACATACAGATACAACATTCATATATAAAAAGGGTAGTTTTTATTAAAACACCCTGTATTTTAATGGGTGTATCTTTTTTTGGTGATCAAAAAAAACACACCCTGTACACATACCTACGCTGATACCTACCGACCGAGCCGACAGACGAAAATAATAAATATGATATACCTACCATATATTTACTTACTTTACGAAAATAATCTCGTTGGGTCCGAAACATTTTTTTTTTGTCAATATTTTTTAAGTATAACCATTTACCTGGTGCGCGTTACTTACGATCCATGCGCAATCACAGATTAAAATCAATAAACAGAAACATATAGAGAATGCAAAAAAAAAAACTAATTTCGACATAAAAAAACAAATTAAACGTCCAGAAACGCTTGAAACTATAATTTATAAACAAACGGGGGAGGAAACTACTATTTTTTAAATTATTTTTTATATTTATTAATCTTTTAATGAATATTTCTGAACTTGTATGCTGGCAATCTTACCACCACATACAAACCTATTAATAATGGCCCGTATTCTGGTGAGGTACAGTCTTAACGGCTGGGTCTGTGGTGTGAATAGAAAAAACCACTTATTAATCATACATCGCTGACGTTGGCCGAACGCGCTCATAGGCTACGACCTTCTTGGAGGATCGCGCGAAAAAAAAAACACGCGACGACTGACAGCTCGTACAATGACAACTGACAGTTGATATGTGACTTTATCTGACAGCTGACAATTACATTTCTGACAGATGACGTATTGACGTTTCTGACAGATGACATTTGACACGCGACCGTTTGAAATGTGACAGTGACAGATGAGAATAGTTTTGTTATATACAGCCGCCCTCCAAAAAGGTACAACATATCCAATACACAACTTATTAAGTATAATTATAGTGCGATGGACCCTTCATTATATACCAAGACTAATATATTATATATACTTATAAGTACATATATATTAAAGTAATTAAAAACCTCAAGAAATATTAAATAAAATATATATTATAATATCAAAGTAATAGGATATATGAAATATAAATAGTGATTAAAAGTATTATTTTCAATTAAAAAACATTTATTGTAATTTTTATATATGAGAAAGTCGTGTTAGTTACACTATTTATAACTCTAATGTCTGTACGGGTTTGGATGAAGATTGGCAGAGAGATAGATTAGAACATAGAAAGGACATAGGATACTTTACAGACGATTGAAAAATAAAATAGGTTGATCAAATACAAAATCTTATCTACTGTCATTAAGGAACAGAGTTCGCCCGGTCTATACATTACTAATTATGAAACTAACGCAGACAAAGATGCAGTCAAAAACTAGTATGTATACATATATTTATAGAAATTAATGATATAATACATACATATATATATAATCCTGTCCATATATAACAATGGGTCCGTTACACTTGTATGTATGTCTGTGTGTGTGTGTGTATGTATGTATGTATGTACGTTACTCACAGTGCATGTCCCTCTCGTGTTCGTACTCAATGAAGGCATACCCGCGCGGCTTACCATTCTCTTTACTGTATACCATGTGGATCTGAAAATAAAAGAAAATATATTAACATTACAAGATAACTATAAGTTTCATAGTAAAAAACAAATTTTTTATAGTTTTTAATATATATATAGGTAGTATTCAATAAAATGGCTAAAGATGGGAAAGCAGACCCTGGCTTAAGCTAGGAAATTGCCAGGAAGAAGAAGATATGTAGTATTCAATAAAACTATATAAAGTCATGTATGTATAGTGGTAAGTATCAAACTGAATGACATCAACTAATATAATAAAGTTATTTGCCTACATTACACTTGACATACTATTATAACAACACGGAGCAAGCATAACTAATACATAACAAAATGTTAATATATATATATATTAATATATATATAAGTATGTAAGTCAGTGGTGTCCTAGTGTTTAAAAGTCCCGCCTCTTGTGCCCGAGACTGTGGGTTCGATCCTGGCAAGTACCAATGTGATGTTCCGAGTCATATGTACTTTATAAGAGTATTTAGACATCACTGATTAATGCATTCCCAAATAGCGTTGATGTCAGGAAGGCGGCCGCTCGTTAAAACAAATAGCCAAAACTATTCCCAACATGTAAGGCAGACTTTGGCTAAAGCTGGGAAATTGCCGAGTAGAAGAAGTGTGTGTATACAATCATATATAGTTAATATACTAACTTTTTTAATTGGTCCATAACCCTCAAACTCTCTACGTAGCTTGGATTCTGAGGTATCGTAATTCTGTGAACAAACGGACATACATTAATAAATTACATAAACACATACAGAATAGAAAATACTTTAATAATTTATATTTTTCCAGCAAGATAATGATTTTAAACATTCATTGCCATTATTATCAAGTTTTTTGCAATAAAATAAAAACATAATAATTTACGTATTAAATAGGCATCACAATAAGAAATAATGAGAATAAAATTGAAAAAATATTGTACATTTCCTACTAATTCATTTATGAAATATTTCAAATTTAAGTAGAGAGGAGCTTGTACGGTGGAGGTGAGCGTTTAACGTCAGATAGGGGTCCCTTAAATCTACACCTGGGTCACAAGTCACAGTCACTGTTGAAGCTCCTCTAACTACAACAATGGACCCGACACACGCACCGTGAATACATGGAATGATGAGAGGTTTCATATTAAGCAATTGCATGAAAATCTAATAGATGTTACTTCCGTTGTGATGATTATTAAATATATAGACTAAAGTACTGGTTAATTTTCGGCTGTGCTCTATGTTGACTAGACTGGGTTCATACCACTCGACAACTGTGATGTCACCTTAATCTGGTTTTTCCAGATTCGTTAGTCACTACAACGATGGACCCGTCACCCATATCTATATATATAAAAATTAATTGCTGTTCCTTGGTCTCACTAAAACTCGAGAACGACTGAACGGATTTATCTTATCATAGTCTTGAAATGTTCGTGGAGGTTCAGGGAAGGTTTAAAAGCTGAAAAATTTTTATTAATTTCCAGGAAAACCCTAAAAACAGCCCATTTTTAGTTCCCATACAAACGGTTTTTTGACATTAGATTTGACAACTAACTAATATGTCAATCATTTTGTCGCACTTCAGAACACAGAGATTTATGGCTTAAAGGTAAACACCAAAAAAATAAATAAGACAATTTATTTCTTGATTGAGGCAGTACGAAGTCTGCCGGGTCAGCTAGTGAATATATATACTTACAACACGTGCAACAAATAGAGTCTTGAATGGGTCCCCGGTAGCTTTAGTATTCGTTGTCGGATCCCACAAAGCTATCTCCTGTTCCAACTTGTATGCTGTCTGTTCAGCTCGCTCCCTTCTCCGACGTTCAAGGCGCTCCTCTCGTGTCTCCACACGCGTGGGCGGCGGAGTCTCTGAAGGATGCTGTATAACAATGATTGACGGTACTTATTTAGTTGTTAACGGAATACAAAACTCCTTTAGTACAATAAAAGTTGGGTACTTATTAAGTAGTTAACTGAATACAAAACTTCTTTAGTACTATAAAAGTTGTATTTTTGGCTACAGTAGAGAAGATTGGTATTTATTAGCTTAATTGTACTTAATATAAATTATTAATGATATTTTTTTTACACAATATGTTTAACATCATCACGATACTCTTAAAACGTCTTCCTATCACGAAAGTTGGTGTTGAAGTCATTGAAATGAAGGTTAAAATTAATTATAAAAAAACACAATATGAAACTAATATTTTCGGATTTTACTTTGCGTATTTATTTTTGATTATAAACTACATACTCCCGACGTTTCGGCTACTTTTCAGCAACCGTGATCATTAAGACGAGATATGAGTTTGTTTTATATAGCTCAAATATCAGTTATTTGTTTTGATTTTAAATCGATATAATATTTAGATCTTAAACTCTGATATTATTGGGGCATTAACAAAATATGTACTGCCGCAATAAATATTTATGGACATCCACCATGAACTTAGAAATAATCAAATATTAAAATGATCACAATTGATACACTGCTAAATCATGCACTAAGATGTGGCGAATTTAATAGCTTGGTATACAAGATATATTGAAATATAATTGTTCATGTCTTAAATTAATTAAAATATAATATTAATAGTTAATAATGGCATTAATGCCGTAAAATAATATAAATGAAGAAAATTTCGTACTCCCTACTAACCTCAAAAACATTAAGGAATGCGCCGACCCCATCGTAGCCTTTTTGTTTTTTCTCATGCGGGAGCTTCGCCGCCGGTGGCAAATATGGTATAGGATCCCTCGCCGCGAATAACGCGAGGAGATTTGGAGGCAAAAACTGCGTCATAATCACGCCACATACGAACTAAACATTTAAACCGACTAACCTTATTGCTACAACTATTCTATATACCTATAATAACACACTTATTTTCTATATTATATTAATGAAATTCACAATATAAATTTTGTTAAATCTACTTCGGATACACACAAATTAAAATAATTTTAACATAGACGCCATTTTCGGTGTTAACGCTACGTTCATAAGCAAGACGTATAATATTCTAAACGCCAGCGACGCCATTCAAAAATAGTGATGTGGTTGCCAGAAATATTACAAAATTAAGTAAACAAACCACAATTCTTATTCAAATAAAATATATACAAACTAATTATTAAAATTGAGACTAACTACTTCTGTAGGACTTTATTTTACATATTCATAACATTTTCAAAAGTTTTTTATGCCTCTGAATTTTTTTAGTTTTATTTACAGCTATCAAGCTTATTTTGAACGATAAGCTAGAAACTTAAAATTGAAATAGGATGTTAAGGAAATTATCATATCAGATATGTAAACTAAATTATAAGTACTTTTATGTATTAAAATTAATTATTTAATTAATTATAAATATACTTTTTTAAGAGTATACTTTAATCATTTCTGTATAATCTATTTTATTTTAAGCATTACAATCCCATATATGTCAAATATCAAAATGACAAAGAGAAAGGACGCAAAGTCGCAAACTAAAAAACCAAAATGAAAAATCAATGCTTTTAAGTTTAATTTAATGTATATACCTATTTAAGATATTCGTGTAAATGAGTATACAATTATAACATGGAAGACGTATGCACGGCATGTTTGTGCTCGAACCGAAATTTGTTCAACATAAACGGGACAGAATTACAAGTAGTTTATTCGCAAATTTTGAATGAAATCTCCGTAAGTAGAGCTATAAATAACACTAATAACTAATAAAATAGTATTTTATAACCAAGAAACTGTACAGAATATCGAAATACTGCACGAAATCGATAGTCTTGAAACAAAAAACTTTGACATCTACCACGATAGTTTAATCCAAGTTTTTGAAACAATTCTATAATATTGAACATTATTTTCTCATAAAACTTAGTAATTATGAATCCAATCATGTATTGCATAACAAAAAACGAATTTCGTATGAATAACTAAAACTATATAGGCATTTTTATTAAAGATTTCAGATACACAGTTAGAGGTGTGTTTACGCGTGTGTTTCAAATGCCGTGCGCTGTTGCGGAGGTATCAAAAGTTTAAAAAACAAGTACAATGTTGCTACACATCATTGCTGAAGCAAATAAATCAGGTAGGCATCAATAAACTAGTTTAAATGAGCTAAAAGGACCATACAAAGATGATTGAAGTCAGTGGTGGCCTAGTGGTTAAAAAGCCCACCTCTCATGCACGAGGGCGCGGGTTCGATCCTGGCAAGTACCAATGTGAGTTTTCCGAGTCATATACACTTTCTGAGAGTATTTAGACATCGTTGATTAATGCATTCCCAAAGAGGGTTGATGTCAGGCAGGCGGACGGTCATAAAAACAATTAGCCAAAACTATTCACAACATGTAAGACAGACCCTGGCTAAAGCTGGAAAATTGCCAGGTAGGAGAAATATGTTTTTAATATTAAATATATTAAGCAAAAATTTTTTACTACAAAATAATGATTGTAATATATCATTCTAGTTGCTTCACTATGTACCTATTTTGGGTTTTTAGATTTATCCAAGCACTAGCACAACCAGTGAAGATTGTAATCAAATACATTCCGATAGACCATCAAATAGAGATTAAAAAAAAATTGTCAGAAGAAAAAGTAATATGCCCAACAATTAATTTTGTATTACAAAAGAATTAAATTTATATACACTTGCCATAAAAATGATACATTAGGTTACAAAGAATATCTAAAGTTTTGGCAGTTTTTAGTGATGGTTAACTCTGGTCTAAATAACCAACAGATCCGGGGTACACCAACATAGCAGCCGATGGCTTTCGCACTGGTTTTAGTGAGTAGGGGCCTGCCCAGGCCGAGCCTCACACATCCCTTCCGGCCCCACCAAGGCCGGTTGGATGGCTCGTAAAAAGACTTTCCCCTGCGTCATCAAAAAAAAAATGGTCTAAATAACCAAAAATACTTGGTAATAGTAGATCGTAAATGAGCATCAATAGAGTTGCAAAGAACATAGATTCTTAAGGGAAAACTATGTACTTCAGGGTCCCCAAAATCAGAAATTCAAGCATATCAGGGAATAAGCCATAGCTAGGAAGCTTACCAAGAATTTTATATAAGACTTTCGCGAGTATTAAATGAGATAAAACTAATATTTTTCCTATTACTACGCGTCTTTTATTATTTTAAATCCCTCGTCTCGTCTTAATGACCACGGTTGTAAAGTAACAGAAACGTTGTCGTATGTAGTTTTTTTAAGAGACGAAACTACTCAGCATTCCATGGATTCACCGTGCGGGTACCGGGTCCATCGCGTTGCAGGGAGAGGAGCTTCAACAGTGCCTGGGACGTGCGACCCAAGTGTAGGTTTAAGGGGCCCCTTAACTAACGAGCGTTATACGCTCACCTCCACTGTCCAAGCTCCTCTCCCTACCTAACCAAATTTGAAAAGAACCTACTAGAGTTGCCTTCGATATACAGTGCCCTCCAAAAGTTAGTTGAAATGATCAATAATGTAGTAAATGTGAGGAAATTACAATAAAACCAAATAAAATCGTGGCTTCAAGAATTATTTATTAAAATATAATCAATTTAGAATATTTCTGTCAGTAAGAGAATCATAACAAATTTTATAATTATAATTTATGTAGATTAACAATGAAATCACGTTACCAAAAGTTAGTTGAAATTGTTGAAAAAATATTTTAAGGCTTGTGTCTTTGCAAATATTTTAACTTTTAATATTTTTTATGACCGCCATTATTCTGTAGAACTGCTTTAAGTCGTCTAGGCATTGATTCTACAAGATTCTGTAATGTTTTGACCGGTATAATCGACCATGTTTCAAGAATTTTATTTTTAAACAAATCCTTGTTGCGTCTTATGGAAACAGGGATCCTGCGGTCTAATTCATCCCATAAATGTTCAATGGGGTTAAGGTCGGGTGACATCGAAGGCCATTCTAGTAAATCCACTTCGTTATCTTCAAAGTATTGTTTAGTTATCCTTGCTGTATGCTTCGGATCGTTATCTTGTTGGAACTTGAAAATACGACCTAACCCCATTGTTTCAGCAGATTGTTTTAAATTGTTACGGAGAATATTACAATAGACCTGTGCTGTCATCTTGCCTTCAATTACTTGCAGTCGGCCCACACCATGCCAAGAAAAACACCCCCAAACCATCACACTCCCACCGCCGTGTTTCACAGTGGGCTGCAAGTATTTGTCGCCGTAAGAGTTATCATTGCTTGTGCGCCATACAGTTTGCCGACGGCGATTTCCAAATAGTTCGAACTTCGATTCATCGCTAAAGATTACTCTCTTCCAAAATTCGATTGGTTTATCCGAATACTTGCGGGCGAACTCCAACCTTCGTTTTTTATGGATCGATGTTAAAAGAGGTTTCTTTCTGGCAATGTGACCTCGTAAATTAGCATCATGCAGGCGTCGCCTGATATTAGTTTCAGAAACCGAGGTCCCTGCTTCCTGTAATTGATCTTTGATCTCTCGTACCACAATCTTGGGATTAATTTTACACTGCCGCACTATTTGTCGATCATCAACAGAAGTAGTAGCCCTAGGACGCCCCGACCGTGGCCTATCTGCAAGACTAGGACATTCTAAACTTTTCTTTATTATTTTTCGGACACCTTCTGGACTAACTTTAAATAATTTACCCACAGCACTAAAGTTTTTAATTTTTTCGTATTCATACACAATCTTTATTCTTTCTTCGACAGTTAATTTTCGTCTCGGAGCCATTATTAATTCAAAAACAGTCAAATCACCTTACAATATCTTATTATTAAATTTAAACTACGCACACTGCCTTAACAATAATAATAAATGAATTTAAAACCGCGAGAGTATCGGATATCGTTTAAAGTTTCCTATTTCAACTGACTTTTGACGCGCTCAATTCAAGTAGTGCACACATAAACATAGATTTTGAAAGAAATCAAAATGAATTTCGGATAATTCCCTACTGTACGTATTAGAATAGTGTATCCAAACATAAATAGTAAACAGTTCATTCATAGAAACTGCGTATTTTGGAAAATATATAACATCATTGATAAGTTGAACTAATTTCAACTAACTTTTGGAGGGCACTGTACGTTCCAAGAATGCATTAATGTGAGTTCTGGACAAGCCCAAGTCCTTTAGTAGGTTGTAGAGAGATTTCGCTGTTATACCTCTCGCTCCCACCTCTACTGCGTACAAATCTACTACGAACCTATTTCGAGTGAGTTCGTTTGTGAGCTCGTAATATTTGTTGACCTTGATGGTATGATCTTTGGGGATGTTGGTTTCCCAAGGGACCGTAAGCTCTATCATCACTACTCGCTTTAAAATTCGCGAAAACAAAAATATATCCGGTCTGGAGGCCGACGCACAAATATCCTCGGGGATATTTTATATTGTTTTTCATACGTGTCCATCATTATAGTCCAATCCGACGCCGCTTTAAGGATGGAGTAAGGCTTGAAGTTTGATTTTGTAGCCCTAGTGCCTTCTCTCACAAAACCTACTGATCGTTCGTTTGTGGTAATTTCCTCTTGCGCTCTGGCTACCGAAAGACTAACCGCTTCACGTATGACTTCTAGAACCCTATCGTGACGACGCGAGTATTGACCGCTGTCCAGGAGTACCTTACATCCCACCAGCAGATGCTTAGCAGTTCCAACTGCCTTTCCACAGATATAGCAAGTTTTTTCGGTACTTTTACCCCATCTTACTAAATTACTCTGATCTGGGAGAGTCATCTGGAACGCATTGAGATAGAATTTTAGCAATGCTGGCGACCAATCATAAATTAAAGTGCGCCATTTTAATGCTAATGGGATGCATATGCTATGATATATAATTCTATTTGATGAAAGAAGAAAAAATACTTAATTAATTCCAATATCTAGTTATTTACGGGCTCTAAGACGGAATAGAGTTTGCCCGGTCAGCTATACATATATCACTAATTACGAAATTAACGCGGACGAAGTCACGGACGAAAAATAGTCATCTTCTACCTGGCAATTTTCACAGCTTTAGCCAGGGTCTGTCTTACATGTTGTGAATAGTTTTGGCTAATTGTTTATACGACGGGCCGCCTGCCTCACATCAACTCTCTTTGGGAATGCATTAATCAGTGATGTCTAAATACTCTTATAAAGTGCATATGACTCAGGAACATCACTTATATTTGCCAGGATCGAATCCGCGCCATCGTGCATGAGAGGCGGGCCTTTTACCCACTAGGACAAAAATTAGTCCTACTAATATTATAATTGCGAAAGTTTGTGAGTGTGTGTGTATGTTTGTTACTTCTTCACGCTCAAACGGCTGAACCGATTTTGATAAAATTTTGTATACAGGAAGCTCACACTCAGGAATAACATATAGGCTACTTTACATCCCGTAAATCCGCGGGTAACACCGCGTTGCGCAGCTAGTATATAAATAAATTAATAGACAAAGCCATAGCATGTTATAAAACTAATATTAATTAATATATTTTTCAGGATTCCCCAACAGAAAATATATCAAGTATACATTTGAAATCTGAGCCAATACAGAACTTAAGTTATGATATTTTTACAAAAGTTGAATTTGAAGATATTCATGTCAAGAATGAAGTTTTGGATAAAGAAGAACTACATTATGAGCCGGAATCGTTTGTTAAGGATCTGCAAATATCCAAGGAAATCAAGGATAAAAAGGTTGTATATGAATGGAAATTGTATGATTTTTTCGATATTTAACATGTATATAGTGAACTGATTTTGATGAAGCGCTCTAGTGTATAGTTTACACAGAGTAATATATAGCATATAATATATTAATCATTTATATGTTTTGCCATAATATATGTTGTATTTTGTATGTAGTACAAGTCATAAAATTTAGATGGCTCCCACATCGAATTAACATATACAGCGTGTCCCAAAAATGAAATTCAAATCGAAACGGGGCGACAGGATTAATTGAAATTCATAGCTTAATAAAAAGTCTTAATTCTAGAAAACTCGGGGCACTTTTCATTATTTTGTGATGGTAGTTTTAGAAATGTTATTTAGGGTGATGATTCCAGAGTTTAAGTCCCTACTAATATTATAAATGCGAAAGTAACTCTGTCTGTCTGTTACGCTTTCACGCCTAAACCACTGAACTGGTTTTAATGAAATTTGGTTCAGAGATAGAGTTGACCTTGAGAAAAAACGTAGTATAGTTTTTATCCCAGACTTTTGAAAGGTTCTCTTGGAAACGCGATATAACCGAACTACACGCGGGCGAAGCTGCGGGCGGAAAGCTAGTTAGTAAAAATAATAAAAATTAATAACAATAACCGAAAAATGATTATAGTTTGATCGATTTTCTAGATTTTTTTTCTGATTTTTCTCATGATAGTTACAATCAATCTGACAACCTGTATATATGTTTAATTAAGTAAAATTCAATTTACTTCACACAGGCAAAGACATTTTCATAAACTATCACATTACTCAAACTTTTATTAATATTCTAATTATTAATCCTTATTATTCTAGATAGTGAAAAAGAAATCGAAACAGAAGATTAAATTGAAGACAAAGATTAAGTCGGATGCAAGTAAAGTTGATACAGATGTAAAGATGAAAGAAGATTTCTTCACTTGTCAAGAATGTGAGAAGAATTTTGATGTGAAATTGGATTTGGAGAAACATATTATAGATGAACATACAGAGAGGAAGGTTGTTAATACTTATTAAATATATATCAGAAGTAGATTTATTTAGATTAGTTTTAAATATATTTGGGTGAAATCTTAGTATTATAAGAGTGTTTAGACATCACTGACTGATGAAGGAAAACATCGTAAGGAAACATGGACTTATAATCAAATTATAAGTTTGAAATCACCAACCCGTCTTGAGTGAGTATGGTGATTAATGCTCAAACCTTCTCCATGTGAGAAGAGACTCAGCAGTGGACTCTGATAGGATGATGATGTATTACTATAATCTTAGGAAATATTAGAATTTCATACAAGTTGATTAGTTTTCAATATATTTGAATAAAATCCTAGTATTAATTACTATTATTCTAGGAAGTGCAGAATAATGGTGTAAAGGAATCTTTGCCAGAGAGACCTCAGTGTGTGGAGTGTGGGAAAGTGTTTAGTTCACGGAAAACATATAGATATCATTTAAAGTAAGTATATATATAGTAATCTAATAGAATCATAATAAAATATAATTGTATTATAAAGTCAGTACTTTTAAATAAATCAAACCATAACTAGAATAAACTAATTATTATGTTAAACCAATACACCTTCAATAAGTTGAATTTAATTTACAAACACACAAGTCGTATAAAATACTTTCCCTCGTAAAACTGAACAAACCAAACGTCATCGTTTTAGCATCACTTGGGGTGCGTTCGATTTAAAGGTTCGGTTCAAATTAAATATGTTCTTCATATGTATATAGTTACGCAAATTAGCATATGGACATGCCGTATGCGTATAATCTGCAGTAATTTTTTGGTTTGAAAAGAGTGAGAGAGATGGCCTATGAGTTTAGTCTAACACTATCTCTTTCCTCATAGATGATTGGCGCTCAGTTTTCATGACAAGCACGGCATATAAATTATTTTAAATATAAAATAATTATATTTTTTCTAAATGAATATATAAGTTATTTTGTAAGGGTAATTATTAGTATTTAAATAGATCCTTTAATAATTATTAATATACACGTATATAACATTTTATGTGGTTATAAATATATTTAAGAACGTTCTTGTATATTCGAGTAATGAGTTAAATCTATGAAATCCAAAAAATTAATATTTCATAGATGTACAGGGTGACTGGTGAATTACTATCGATATTTAAGGACGTGATATTTGACGATCATATATGACAAAATAAAAATTAATATAACATAAATATTAATAAACTTCTAAGTAAAGTTAACCAAAAGTTATGTAATTAATTACGCATCGTGTGAACACCCTACAGATTAGGTATACACACACACTCACACACTCGCGGCGGGGGAGTGGTTTTGTATCAGCACGCCGCCGCGCGCGTCCACACTTGGAAGACTTGGAACGTGTCTACACTTAATTTATTTCTACGGAAATTTTGGTCAAAAATTAAGTGCCTATTTTTTTTACATAATTCGAATGAGAATCATGTACCGAGTATTCTCCTTAAATATTGATAGTAATTCACCAGTCACCCTGTATATTACACGGATTTGAGAGAGATAAAGATAGACCGTAACTTTGTTTCCTCTCTTTCTTTCGGAGTGATAAAAATCTCATCTCTAAGGCATGTCCATTAGTATATGATGATTTGCTCTATACACGACTATATACTACTTTTCTTTGTAAACCTAATTTGTTAATAATATTTAGATATAATTAATATGTAATACTTACTAAGTATGTTTGTAGTTCCAACATATTGACGATAGATTGCGCTGACAATTATTTATCGTCGACTATAATGCAAATCCGCGTAACTACGATTGGATAATTATTAATTGTGAAATAATTACTTTAAAAGTCGTTAATATATAATATTTCATCTCAAACTTTCTTCTTATAATCTTCTTCCAATTTAGATACTTATTATACAATGATAGTAACGAGGATTTGCACTGTCACCGACTATATACTACTTTTGTTTGTAAATCTGATTTATTTGTTTTTTATTTTGCAGTGTTCTCCACAAAGGTCAAAATAGACACCCGTGTCCAAGATGTGGTAAGGTGTATCAGTGGAAATCAAACCTGGGCAGACATTTGAGGAGTCATAAGGTGGATATACATACTAATATTATAAATGGGAAAGTAACTCTGTTTGTCTGTCTGTTACGCTTTCACGCCTAAATCACTCTACTGATTTTAATGAAATTTAGTACAGATATAGAGTTGATCTTGAGAAAGAACACAGGATAGTTTTTATGTCAGACTTTTGAAAGGTTCTCTTGGAAACGCGATATAACCGAAATCCACGTGGGCGAACCTGGGGTCGGAAATCTAGTTATATATTATGTACATATATTTTTATACTACATAATGAATTTTATAATATTTTAAGATATTTTTATCCAAATTAACATTATTATCAGTTACATGAGAATTACTTATAACAAAACATTTATGAATATATATATCAATAAAACTTGTAACAAAACTTAAATAATGAGTAGTTTCAAATATGCCACTTCTATATTATGTACTAATTTAACGTTTTGTCATAGTTTTAATTATTTTACATTCTAATTATCGATCAAATATGCGATTTTGGTAGAATATAGTGTGTTGTTTTATATATATATATATATATATATATATATATATATATATATATATATATATATATATATATATATATATATATATATATATATATATATATATATATATATATATATATATGTTTGTAGGCTCGTGATAGTGGTGAGCTACATTGTCATACATGCGACAAGCGGTTCTCCTCAGTGGCTACTTACAGACAACATCTACGAGTGTCACGATCACACGTGTCGGAGACGGACTTCACGTGAGTAGGGGGAGGGGGGGGGGAAACTCATATACTGACAGACAAACACACACACACACACACACATAAATAAACGACCAAATATACAATTAAAACTATACAGTTTGAGGGAGCGAAACTATATAATAGCTTACCTAATGAAATTTTTAATGAAAAAACCTTTACGATATTTAGAAAGAAATTATTAAGTTATTGTAAAAAGCACTTAGATTAAATACTCTTGAATAGTATAAGTCGTTACTACTATACTAAATTGTTAATTAAATTAAATTATGTAATACATCTCATTTAAGTGAACATTGTATGTTCTTTATGAGAAATAAAGTTCTTTAACCACAAATATGAATTCATGTCACTATACAAACATAATACAAATAAAAGAAAAATTCATTTTACCTAAACATTTTTTCTATCAAATTGAGTGAGACACTTAATCGTTTCAGTAGTGATTTTCTTGTACATAGTTTTTTTTCCGGTAATAAAATATATATTATAGATATAATATATATGTTTTAAATAAATTTCAAGCTAAATAAATATACTATTAAATAAAAAATTCTCGATTTTATCAAACATTTTGTTGCCAAGATGAATCGCCAGTACTTATCAACTTATCAACAGTTTTGAATCGTAATATAAATACACAACACTCCTTTTAAGCGACTTTTAATTACAGTTTCATGTGCAACGAGTGTGGCAAGAAGTTTGTGAACAAAACGAGATTGAGAGACCACATCGACTGGGAACATCTGAATAAAATTAAATTCAAATGTAGCCTCTGTAATAAGGTCAGTATACATATATATGTAGTAAAAGTCAGTGGTGTCCTAGGGGTTAAAAGGTCTGCCTCTCATGCATGAGGGCGCGGGTTCGATCCTGGCAAGTACAAGTGATGTTCTAGAGTCATATGTACCTTATAAGAGTATTTAGACATCATTGATTAATGCATTCCCAAAGAGGGTTGATGTTAAACAGGTGGCCCGTCGTAAAAACAATTAGCCAAAACTATTCACAAATTGTAAGACAGACCCTGGCTAAAGCTGGGACATTGCCAGGTAGAAGAAGAAGAGATAATATATATAGTACAAAATAATACTGGAATTTGTTTGTTAAATATAAATGTGTTTATATATATGAATATATGAATGTTATATGTTTCAGCCGTTCAAATGTCACACATCTCTGTACGTACACATGAAGAACGTGCACAGGGACAAGGAGAAGAAAGACAACCTGTGTCACGTGTGTGGGAAGTCATACCAGGTACAAACACACACAGTTATATAGTAAATAAATATTTAATATTCATATTATTTCGATACTTATTTTGATATATCAAACATTAGTATTATTTTTGATTGTAAAACACCATTTTTTAACAGAAATAGAGTAACGATTTATCCTAATAATACAAAATAGTTAATTTACCTGAAGAAGTTCCATATTATAATATTTATTAATAATATTTATTATTTATAAAAGTTATTTTAAACGAAATTAATTTAATGTGAAAAACATAACTATTTACAGCAATATTAAAAATATCGATAGAATATTTATCGATATACCTAATTTTTAAACTTGCAAATCTCGAATAATTCGAAAATTAACAAAATAGTAATAAGAACGCCGTCGGCCTGCCACATGCGGTCAATGGCCACGCATGCGCCTTCGCGACTATACGGTGCCTTGACCTTGTATGGGTCAGATGTTTGAAACATTTTTTCAATTAATGTCGATTTAAAACTTATTTAGCCTATGCACTGTAACTGACCTCTGCTTGATATTTTTTATAATAAGCTTATACTTATATTATGTATACATGCCTTCAAGGGTTCACACAGTTATAAATATATGTTTTCAGAACTCAGCCAAGCTCCGTTACCACATAGTAGCGATGCATACAAGCGAGACTCCGTACAGATGCAGTCAATGTGGGGCGACATTTGGTTGGTACTCATCTCTGTACAGACACATGAGGGAGGTGCATTATAAGGTGAGAAAAGACGCGCGGCAAACATATACAATATATATAGTCCTAGTGGTTAAAGGCCCGCCTCTCATGCATGAGGGTTCGGGTTCGATCCTGGCAAGTACAAGTGATGTTTAAAGTCATATGTACTTTATAAGAGTATTTAGACATCACTGACTGATGAAGGAAAACATCGTGAGGAAACATGGACTTATAATTAAATATGTACAAATTATTTATTTTATTTCTTTGGGAAACAAACAATTTAAATACACTGTTATATAAAATACATAAACAAATTGAGTATGTAGTTATAAAATTCACATATAAACGTAGTATACGAAAATATTAGTTGTATATAAATGAATACTTAAAGTATTAGATCTCATTAGAACTCGAATCTAAGACTTAAATGATATGTTGCAGTCACTATGATAATTGAGATATATGTTATATATACTATTTTTCTCTTTAGTATTCATTAATATATAAAAATCATAATTATACATAAAAAGCTATGATTATCTGACATTGACATTTACAAGACTTAAATATTGGTCCATTTAATATATAAAGTTACTTGAAAGTAGAGAATCATGTTAATAATGAGTAATAATTTATATTATATATATAAATAACTTTATTTCAGATAAAAGTTCAACCGAAGAAATCTAAAAAGTTGAAGAAAACAAATGAAGCGTTGCCGACACAGACCGGATCTGCATAGATTAAAAATTATAATATATATGTAACATATATGTTACATGTTACATATTATACAGTTATTTTATACATATACATATCGGTTTAAAGACATTTATTTCTTATAAAGAACACAAAAGTTCACTTATAATAAGAAATTACAATAATTTTGCATGAGTTTACATTTCAAAGTCTGCCTTAAGAATTTTATACAGTGAAATAAAATGTGGCGGGTGGTTATATTACACAAACATGTTTAGGTAGGGATTACATTATTTTATAAATTATTATGCACATATTACATTACATCACAATTCAGTTTCTGATAACTAATATTAAGTTCTTTATTGTATTGACTCTTTATTTTGACAGTTTTTGTCCCTGGCGCGTACTGTTTTTTGGGTTATGCTTTACAATTTTTGGAACATCATTTATGTATTTTATAATAAGGTCTTTTTCTCCATTTTTTTGTCGGGATACCAGTACATCTTGTAGATTTTTCATATGTTGTTGTTGACATTGAGTTTGATCGGCGTAAATTCGGATTTTATCTAAATTATGTTTGTGTTTATTCTTAAGTATATGTTTTGCAGTTTCCTTTTTCTCGAAGCCCACTTTTAGAGATCTATATTTAAAGACTGTAGTAGGGTTTGGGCAGTCCTCATAAATAGTTTTAATTAATTTCATAGCTTCGTTCTTGACATAATCACGTCTAATTATTCTACAAGGATTTTTTGTTTCTGTAATCCCTACTAGTATGACATTCTTTCCTCGCTGAAAGCATTCTTGTAGCTCTGAAATGGTTTCCTCTCATGACAGGGGATATTCTTTAAAAAAAATATTATATTTTTTAAAAAACAAATATCATTTTCAAGAACGTGTATTTTTGTTGTATAGACTATACAGTATAGTATCAGTTAGTGACTTCATTTCTTTTAAGTCGACTTTCGTTTGGTTTTGCTCCAATAATAAAGATTGTAAAGCAGCATTATTAGACTTTAATTCATTTTTTATTTCTTTTATTTCATTATGTAAAGATAAGGAACATTCGTGGTGCGTTTTTGTGAAATCTTGAAAAAAAGACATCATCTCCTTAAGAAATTCGTTAATCAATCACATTCGTATTTCCTTTTTCTAAGCGTGACATTGTAGTCATCCAATGTTCGTAATTCCGGTGATGACCCACTTCGGCTATCGCATATGAGTTTTCCGCTAACGCTTAGTGATTGTGAACTCATCTTTACTTTGATTTGCCCATAGCGTAATGAATCACAGCTTGACGAAGCAAAAAAAACGCAATAAGTCCTAATAAGCGAAGCTGACGAATTGTGTTCTTTATGCTGTTCTAATTAGGTGCTAACTTCAATGTCTTGTCATTTTAAAAATTATTTTATTTTTAGTGTAACCGGCAACATCAATCATCATCTATTCAAAGCGGCAGACTTACTCAGAATTGTATTATATGTATAAAATAACTGTACCATATATATATTGATGGCTCCCATGTATAAGAGCAAGGGTCAATGTGTAAACAATTGTTCAGTAGACGTTTTAAGTTTGACTTCAATGTATCTTGTATACAACTGATGCTTTGATACTTTGAATAGCAACTATGACATACATGTACGATATATAAGATTGATGAATTTTGTAAAACTACTAGTTTTTTTAAATAATGTATATAAGCCTTTATATGTTAAAAATTGTGTTACTTATGCTTTTTTACTTCAATAAAAACTAAGTCTTTCCACCAACAAATATACATTTTTTAATGTATGTTGTAGAATACAGTATTATGAAGTGTTTGAAGCGAAAAAATTAAAATGGCTTATTGCTACATTGGCCCTCATACATAGGAGCCATCTATTTATATACATATATTTATATTAATTTACAATTTATATAATTTTCAAGATTCAAATCAGTATCTGTATCATCTATCATCATTATATATTTTTATGAACGACTGATATGTTTAAGAATAGTTTTAATTTCTGAATAAATGATTACATAATACATATTTTTTAATTCACTAGCTGTTACCCGCGACTTCGTTTGAATAAACACAAAAAACTCAAGCTTTTTCATGATTTTGTATCATTCTACTTGAACATGATAATTGTTAATTTATAGTATTCTGTGTTACTCCTTATTATATTAGCTATTTACAGATAAAAGTACAGAGAAATAGATCCACACGTAACAGAGATTACACGGAATAAACAGACAGACAGACAATGTAAAAAATGTTGTTTTGATGTATGTACCATATATATTTCTATGCATGTGGTTAAAAACTATTATTACAATATAAATCAAACATGCTTTGTAGAAGGAAAGTATTTAAATCTTTTATGTAAATAATTTTACGATCTACAAATTTTGAACTATTTTTCGATAGTTCTAATTGTTTCAGAGATATTTTTAACATCACTATCGTATATGCGTTGAAAACTTTAGTTTTAATAAGTAAATGGTCTAGGCTCTACTCACAAAAATATCATTCATGTAGGTAAATGTGGATAGTTATGGAATTTGGAAACTAATTATTGTTTTAAATGTATGGATGAATGTAATGAAAGAACAGGTTATTTGTATAAGTCTTTATTGTTGTATCTTTGTCTGGTCGGAGGTTAGTCGGTCTGGTTCAACAGCTTGTGTGGGCTGGAAACAAAAATATTAATAATTAATATATATGAAACAAAACCTCTCATCATTCAATGTATTCACGGTGCGTGTGTCGGGTCCATCGTTGTAGTGAGAGCAGCTTCAACAGTGACTGGGACTTGTGACCCAGGTGTAGGTTTAATGCCTTAAGTTACCGGAAGTTTGAGGTTTTGACTATATTAGAACATCCGGTGGAATTAATCAAGATCTCATCGATTGTAATAATAGAATATTATGGATCAAACTTAACATACACTCATCAACCCAAGTTACGCTCCCACCAGTATAAAATCTATTATTAATGATATAATACCTGTGTGTCTCTGTGTACAAGTCTCGTGTGGTTGTAGAGAGCCGCGTCGTATGCGAACGAAGCCGGGCAAAAAGTACAGTGTAGCGGACGAGAACCAGAATGACTACGAAGATGACCTTCTAAGGATTTGTTGCTCTGGGGACAGGAATAGATATATTAGAGACAAAGATTAGGCAGACCCTGGCTAGAGCTGGGATGTGCACTATATATACTAGAAGACCCGGCGAACTTCGTATCGCTCTATAATCAAGAAATATCTGTTACGTTTTTTTATTTATATTTTTGGAGTTTACCTATTAAAGCCATAAATCTCCGTGTTTTGAAGTGCGACAGAATGATTGACATATTAGTTAGTTCATCAAATCTAATGTCAAAAAAAACTTTTGTATCAACAACTACTAATAAATTTAAAATTAATCAAAAAAACATTGTCCAGCGGACAAAATTGTGAATCTAAACCATTGAACCCCCTTGAACACACACAATAAATTTCATCAAACTCAGTTCAGTCGTTTGAGAGAAGTTCAGTGACATACATACACACAGAAGAATTATATATATATATGTATGTCTTACCGTGTAAGCATTCCCACACACGTGACACACATGGTTTCTTACTCGATCAGTCAGTCGGTGACAGGAGCGAGTGTGGCTGCGAAGGACCGGCTTTGAGGAACACGACTATACAACGAGACGAGATAAACAATGTAAACAAACATTACAATACATGACTATATATTACTAATATTATAAATGCGAAAGTAACTCTGTCTGTCTGTCTGTTACGCTTTCACGATTTAACCACTGAACTGATTTTAATGAAATTTGGTGCAAATAGAGTTGACCTTGAGAAAGAACATAGGATAGTTTTTACCATAAACTTTTGAAAAGTTCTCTTGGAAACGCGATAAAACCGAACTCGACGCGGGCGAAGCTGCGGACGGAAAGCTAATACATATTATAATATTATATGGGAAGTTTGATGGACATTTAGGAAAACAAAGGAAAACTCAAACAAAATTTGAGTTGAACGAAATATTTTGGATTAGAAACTTCTGAGTTAGAAATATTTGTAGTTTTATAACTTTACAGTATATAACATTTTAAATATGTACAATTCAATGAGCTTTTAGGCACAGTTAATAGCAGGACACAACTCAAGTTGGCTTTGATACTATCAAATAAGATTTATGAATGAAAATATATTTATTGTTACTATCTATTCTTTGATTATATTCTATATATATAAAAATAGATTGCTGTTCCTTAGTCTCGCTAAAACTTGAGAACGGCTGAACCGATTTATATTATCTTAGTCTTGAAATGTTCTTGGAGGTTCAGGGAAGGTATAAAAGCTGAAAAAAATTGATTCATTACTGGGAAAACCATTTAAACAGCCCTTTTCTATTTCCCATACAAACGTTTTTTTTGACATTAGATTTGACAACTAATATGTCAATCATTCTGTCGCACTTCAAAACACGGAGATTTCATGCTTACAGGTAAACTCCAAAAATATAAATAAAAAAACGTAACAGATATTTCTTGATTATAAGGCGATACGAAGTTCGCCGGGTCTTCTAGTTATCAATATAAATACTGTATTTAATAGAAATAAATATTATCTTTATTATAATTAACATTCTACAATATTAAACCGATTTTTAAACCAGCGATAATACTATCTGTATTTCGTTTCCCACCAATTAATATATTAGGCCAGTTAATATTTAGTACACAACTATTAAAAATAAATTAGAAAGAGCATTTTCAAACCGATGTCGAGTGTCATTTCATTAAAAGAGACATGATTATTTTATCCAAAAATGGTACTGCAAGTAAGAAACTTATATTTTTTTCTTCACCATCGGAAAATAGAGATTTCAACGAACAGAAAACACACAAAATTTTTGAAAAACGCTAATATTTTGACGGGTGATTTTTTGATTGAGATTGAGGCTGATTTTTTGATATTTATTCAAAATAAGCTGAAAAAATAAATATTTCTAATCAAATAAATTAGACTGTATTTGGGATATCAAAAGAAAAGTTTTCACAAAATTTCGTGACAAAATATTGTTTTTTATAAGAGATAAAAATAAAAAATCAAAAACTTGGTTTTTCGAATTTTTCACATAAAATTTGAGTTTATGTGAAAAAAATGGTTGTACAAAAGTTTTAGATCTTTTTATTACCTACAACTTTGCCAAATAAAATTTTTCATTAGGACTCTTAGATTTTCCGAAAAACTAGAAAACCCATTTTTTACCCTTAAATACCTCAGATCGCCCGTAAATTATTTTTCCTTTAAATTTTATAATATTCCCCTCCTTTTCTAATGAGTTTCATTCTACTATACATTAATTATGTTTTAAAAGCCATCGGCACTGGTCTATATATATTTAGGAAACTAACAAAATCATTAAAAATATAATTGTCGTATAAAGCTAGTACTTTTAAATAACAAATTAAACTTTAACTAGAACAAACTAATTATTAGGTATCTTAAACCAAAACACCTTCAATAAGTTACATTCATTTTACAAACACACAAGTCGTATTAAATACTTTCCCTCGTAAAAGTGAGCAAACCAAACTTCATATCTTTAACGACACTTCGGGTGCGTTCGCCGTTCGGGAGTTTAAAGCATCGGTTCAAATTAAATACTACCTTTCCGCCCGCAGCTGCGCCCGCGTGGAGTTCAGTTATATCGCATTTCCAAGAGAATCTTTCAAAAGTCTGGGATAAAAACTATCCTATGTTCTTTCTCAAGGTCAACTCTGTCTGTACCAAATTTCATTAAAATCAGTTCAGTAGTTTAGGCGTGAAAGCGTAATAGACAGACAGACAGAGTTACTTTCGCATTTACAATATTAGTAGGGATCAGTCAGTGGTGGCTCAGTGGTTAAAGAGTCCACCTCTCGTCGCCGAGGGCGCGGGTTCGATCCTGGCCCAGGCAAGTACCAATGTTATTTTTCCGAATCATATGTACTTTCTAAGAGTATTTAGATATCACTGATTAATGTTGATTCCTTAAAGAGGGTTGATGTCAGGCAGGCGGCCGGTCGTAAAAACAAATAGCTAAAAACTATTCACAACATGTAAGGCAGACCCTGGCTATAGCTGGAAAATTGCCAGGTAGAAGAAGAAGAATATTAGTAGGGATATATAAAGTGTACTCACAAAGCTACATCCAGTGACCGTACATTTAATGGGCGTCATCTTTAAATGAACGGCCAAGTTATGTTCTTCAAGGCGGGTAGCTTTAACAAACTTCTTATCACACAGCTTACACGCGTATCTGAAATGCCAGGATACTGTTCTTAATATAATAAATACAATTAATATTGATAAGGATATATATAAAATAGAGGAAGAAATGTAATAATACTTTTAAATATAATTATATACAATTATTAGTTTTCAGGATTTTTAAGGTTTAACCTTTATCTAAAGAGAGACTTATATATAATGTATAATACTTTTTTTATGTAATTATAAAAATTATTAAATTTTATTTGATAAACTTGAAATTTTTTATTTAATATAATATGACCCAGATTTGTATTGATATAAAATATTGTGACGGATTTGTCACAAATTTCTGATCAGCCGAAATTATTTAAAATAATTTATTGATTTAATTATATATCCACTAGTTTTTTCCGCGACATTGTCCGCGTTAGTTTCATAATTATTAATGTATATACCGGGCGAACTCTGTTCCTTAAAGACAGTAGATAAGATTTTGTATTTGATCAACTTATTTTATTTTTCAATCGCATGTAAAGTATCCTATATCCTTTCTATGTTCTAATCTATCTCTCCACCAATCTTCATCCAAACCCGTACAGTCTAGAGTTATATATAGTGTAACTAACACGACTTTCTTTATATATAATAATACTAACTTAAGTTTCGCCGGGTCGATGTGTTTCAAGTTGTATTTCATGTGTTGGTTGAACGACATCTGGTTCTTGAAATTCATGTCGCACTGAAAATAAACGAAAATATACATATTAGGAATAATTTATATAAATGATTTATGGAGAGTGACTGAAAATAATTATTTAATGAAGGAAAAATATAAATTCTGTTTGCTGAATGAATATATGTATGTTTTTAGAGCGAAGATACTACATAGTACCTTAAAATAAGCTTAAAGACGTATAAAAGAATTATATTTAAATATTTTTGTATGAAAAACTTTTTTTTATATTTATTTAACATGCTGACTATCTTTAATTTAATATTTTAATAATAATGGGCTTATTTATTATGTATATAAGAAATTCTAACGATTTAGTGTGTAGGTAGTTGTGACATACTAACTTTATAGCAGTAGAGGTGCGCAGGCGCATCGTGAGTGATCAAATGTATCTCCATGGCCTTTTTAAACAGGAACTTCTTCTCACATCGCGGGCACGAGTACTCTTTCTCTCCTTTATGTATGCTGGAAGTATAATATACGCTATGCCCGTGACTTTGCACGCTTCAAATATGTACTTTATAAGAGTATTTAGACACCACTGATATATGAAGGAAAACATCGTGAAACATGGACTTATCAAATTATAAGTTTGAAATCACCAACCCATCTTGAGCAAGCGTGATGATTAATGCTCCAACCTTCTCTATGAGAAGAGGCTCAGCAGTGGGCTCTGATAGAATGATGATGATCTATATATAATTGTTTTAATATATAAATAGACCACGTCACACCTTACAACACCAGCTATCTATCAGTGAGAGTCCTATCACAACAAGTGCAGCCGTTTTATAGATACGCCTCTACAAACAGACTGACGGACCGCACACATACTGTAACACTTTGTTACGTATGCGTCACATATTAAAAACTAGATGAACATTGCCGGGGCGACATCGTTGTATGTATAATATATAACTCTTGACGCCGCTGACTCCGCGGAACGAACACCAAGCCGTGTGAACCAGAAGATTCCTGATACCACACAAGCTATGGAATGGTATTGATATACTAACATCGGGTCAATCATGTAGTCTTAGGTATAAGTTATAAGTTTTAGTATGTAATTCTTATTATAATACACATATAAGTAAATTTCGTAGTTTTCCTATATACATAATTAACTATTAAAATATTTCCATAATAATAATTTTATATGTATTGCTATCATATACTCACAAGAGGTGTGTTTTGAGTGAGGTCCGGTCACTGAATGTCTTCTCACATAATTCACACTTCTGTCTTTCAGTGTGAGTCTTTATGTGGTTACGTAGCTTGCCTAACGACCTGTAATACATATACTTAATACATGTGTGTATCCATGTTATTTAATTATTTTTGAATATTTCTCTTACTATATTTAAGATTTAATACTTTCGAGCCATTTGTAACATCTTTAAAGAACACGTTATCTATTGTAAGTGAATTTTGTTATAGCTAATCGTAAATAAGGCATCCACGACATAAAATCACGCGATGTTGTCACTTCAGCAAAATATTATGTTTTTAATTGTATTCCCTGTTAACATTGAGTTATTGCTGGTAATAAAGTATTTTAATTTAATGTGTGTGTGTGTGCACCCACGTCTCCGTGTGTCCACATTTGCCGCACGTGTGTGTGGGTGTTGGCGCGTAATGTTCCCTGGCCGCGTGGTCGGCACACACAGCCGCTCGGGACCAAGTGCCGCCGCATAAACGACAACGCCATCTACCGACACAATACATACAGATATATATCTTTATATATATAATTCTTCTGTGAGTGTGTATGTCACTGAACTTCTCTCAAACGACGGGAAAGATTTTAATGAAATTTTTTGTGCGTGTTCAAGGGGATCTGGGAATAGTTTAGATTCACAATTTTGTCCCCTGGACAATGTTTTTTTAATTAAATTTTAATTTATTAGTAGTTGTTGATACAAACGTTTTTTGACATTAGATTTGACAACTAACTAAAATATGTCAATCATTCTGTCGCACTTCAAATCACGGAGATTTATGGCTTTAATAGGTAAACTCCAAAAATATAAATAAAAAAACGTAACAGACAGTTCTTGATTATAGGGCCATATGAAGTTCGCCGGGTCTTCTAGTATATATATACAATTATAGTAAAAGCTCAATTACTATAAATTCAAACCTTCTATTTCTCGACATCGTTACAAAAAGGTAAAATTATCATTCAAATTTAAACAGTTCAGCAAGAAACGATTGTAGTGACGGCAACAGAACCGATTAAAATAAACAATTTATATAATAATATTTAAAAAGCGATTAAACATTGAATATGTAATATCTGTTGAGTTTTTAACTTAAAAACATTTGTGAATCCAAAAGTTATTTCAACTAATCAGAGCTTGTCTTGATGACCTTGAGTGTGAGTCACTCCTATATATATATATATATATATATATATATATATATATATATATATATATATATATATATATATATATATATATCGGCCGGCTTTATTTAACGTCATTCTAATCGTATGTTATATATGTAACAATTGTTAATAATACTGTTGAAATCGATTTTTATATATTTCTAAGCTATTTAATGTTGAATGAAGGAATGATTGATTGATTGACTGACTGCACATCCCTACTAATATTATAAATGCGAAAGTAACTCTATATGTCTGTCTGTTACGCTTTCACGTCTAAACCACTGAACTGATTTTAATGAAATTTGGTACAGAGATGGAGTTGACCATGAGAAAGAACATAGGATAGTTTTTATCTCAGACTTTTGAAAGGTTCTCTTGGAAACTCGATATAACCGAACTCCACGCGGGCGAAGCTGCGGGCGGAAAGCTAGTTATATATATATCTTACCTTACTCTATGTCGCCTCTCGTGAGCCGCTAAAGCTCGTTCGTCTTTACACCTCACACTACACAGACTGCACACACACGACCCGGACTCCTGTTGAAAAAACTTACTACAAGAATCAAAGACATTTATCATTGATAAGCCGAAATTGATAATGTACTGATAGATTCATAAGAAGAAAAAGAAAAATTTAATTTTCTTGACGTGTCACAGACAAACACCAAGTATCTATGGTTTATTATAAATTGTATACTGCAAATCCGCGTAACTAACAATGGATAATCATTTAGTGTTTAATTCATATAAAAAATCACCTTAAAAGTGGTTAATATATAAAATATTTTAGTTCAAACTTTCTTCTTATAATCTTCTTCCAATGTAGATACTTATTATACAATGATAGTTACGAGGATTTGCACTATACATGACTATATGTTATATATGGGTCGTCTCTCTCACACACACACACACACACACTATTTCCCCCCACTCCTCACCTCGTAATGTTTCATCATATGTTGTTCCAGTTTACATCGGTGATTAAACCCGAGCACGCAGTCGTAACACTTGTACTCGTGTCTCGTGAACGAAGGGCTGCTGAGGGCGCGGGCGCGCTGGCGACGGACCTGGAGTTACACAGACAGACATATATAGATGTAGATATACGAACACATACACACCCACACAGACATGTAGATTTAGATATAGTCACCATATACGAACATACACACACAGACATACATATAGATGTAGTCACCATATGAAAACACACAGTCATACATACACAGGTGTAGACAATATATGAGAACACACACAAACACACACACATAGACAGAAGTGAAGTTACCATACACAGATGGAGTTAATAAATGTGAACACACACATACATATAGATGTAGTAACCATATGAGAACACACATAGAAATACAAACACAGGAGTAGTCACTATATGAGAATACATACACACACACGCACACACACACACACACACACACACAGATGTAGTCTCATTTTCACTATAAAACCAAAATCCACTCTTATAATAACTGTTCATTATCTACACAGGAATTCCTTGCTAACTATTTTTTCTTCCTAATGCATATATCAGAAAGATATATCATATCTTAAAATATATCCTTATTATCTTCTTCTACCTGGTAATTTTCCAGTTATAGCTGGCTATAGCAGTGGGCTGGCAGACCCTGGGGTCTGCCTTTCATGTTTTGAATAGTTTTGGCTAATTGTTTTAACGACTGGCCGCCTGCCTGATATCAACCCTCTTTGGGAATGTATTAATCAGTGATGGCTAAATACTCTCAGAAAGTACATATGACTCGGGAACATCACATTGGTACTTGCCAGGCTCGAACCCGCGCACATGCATGAAAGGCGGACCCTTAACCACTAGGCTACCACTGACTTCAAATATATCCTTATATATATATATATATGTATGTATATATATATATGTATGTATATATATATATATATATATATATATATATATATATATATATATATATGTTTTATTACCTCATCCCACGTAAGTACAATCATCTCTATATGTTCATTTCCAATATTCAACTGTTTCAACTTCTTATCGACCCTGGCGTTGTTCACAATAACTAATTCTTCTTGTTTCCTTTTTACTGAAAAATTTAAACTTTCATTAAGGTTAAGACAAATTATAAACATTATATATACAGGTCCAACGAGACAATATAAATTTAGTAAACAACTTATATATGCTATGTATTAGTTATGCTTGCCCAGTGTTGTTATAATAATAGTATGTCAAGTGTAATGTAGGCAGATCACTTTATTATATTAGTTGCTGTCATTCAGTGTGATACTTACCACTATACATACACTACAATGTTAATAATGTTTTATTGAATACTACAATATTGAATATATGTGTTCTATCTTTTAATAAAAGATATGTATATATTCTATTCACCTTGCCCTTTCTTTTTCTTTCTTGCCGTTTGTTTCATCTTTAAAGGTTCATCATCTGAATCGTTGAATTCTTCATCATTCATTGTCAAGGCTTCATTTGGTTCTGATTTGAGCAACTGTAACATTTAATATATATAGGGATGTACAAATATAGAGTATAATTATGTATTTGCATAGAAATATTGCTGAAAGTCGCACCATCTGTGTCATACTAATTACAACCCACTATAATCCTTCCAATTATTATGATGAGTGATTATAATGAATGATAATACTGAACCATTGTGATGTATCAACATGAGCATCAACTTGTGTTTGTAAACTATACATACTGGCTTCACACATTCTGTTACATGACTGGGAGTAACAAGGAACATTGAGAATCAAGACAAACAACAATATAAATTGTATTATAATTAATAAGTCAGTGGTGTCCTAGTGGTTAAAGGCCTGCTTCTCATGCACGAGGGCCCAGGTTCAATCCTGGCAAGTACCAATATGATGTTCCCAAGTCTTATGTACTTTATAAGAGTGTTTAGACACCACTGTCAGAAACTGAAAACATAGTGAGGAAACCTAGATTTATAATTTCAAATTATTGGTTTGAAAATTACCAACCTGTCTTGAGCGAGCGTGGTGATTAATGCTCAAACCTTCTCCCTGTGAGAAGAGGTCTTTGCTCAGCAGTGGGCTTTGATAGGATGATGATGATTATAATTACAGTTATACAAATAATTGATAATACTCACATCAATATCAAATTCGTTGACACCATTAAAGTTATCGTGATCTTCCATTTTAACGAATGCTATTTCATAATTGTACGAAAATTCCTTTACATTATCACATTTCATTATTTTTAAGCTCGAAAGAGGTTGTATGTTGCTTAACTGAAACAATATTTTATTATAAAGAAAATATGTATAGATTTTTTTAAGAATTTTTGTCTTACTTTTTTATTTGAAGTACAAAAAGTTTGAACTCATTTATAACTCACTGACTCAGTTAAAAGTCTTTAATTCACTTTTAGATTAAATATATATATTGAATACATGAGATTTGTAGTAGTTGATTATCTATTTCCTATTGCAGTAGACCGGTAATTTTTTTAACTACGAACTCGTTATAAATGATAAAAATTACGACAGTTTTTCATCACTTTATTATAGCATGTATAATTTATTTAATTCGAACTTACTACTAATTGAGATAGCATTTGATGTGCTCGTTTAAGCTGTTGCTTGAATTTGAGGAACCTCTTCAAATAAGCTGCACATTCCCAGCATAATTTAACTTCATTGTAGTCCTTTGATAAAAGAGCGTTAAAAAGTGTTTAGTATAAGTTTGTACAAGTAATGACTTCGTTATATTAGTTTTTTTAGTAAAACTATACAAAATCAACAATATTGTATAAAAAATTAAGTTACTTTTCATATATTTTTGTAAAAGGTACTTACCGTTCCTAATAAAACACGAAATAACTTGAACGTATCTTCGTTGAAGTTCACCAAGTTACGGTCAACGGAGAGACATCCTCCGCATATATTTAATTCACTTAAATTCATTGTTTCTTTTATAAAATAAATACTTTTAAAAACAAAAATTAAACTTAAATTACTTAACAAATAAAAACACAAACAAATGTCACGTTGAACCAAATGTCATTACAACTTGAGTTTGATTCGCAATAGTTCGTAAACTTAGTAAAAAAGAATATTTAGTTAAATTAAACAGAAAATAATATATTTTACTAATTAATTTCCACATTATAATATATTAAATATAAAATTACGTTTATGTGACTGGGTTTGAATTTGCTACTTCTAGAATATAAAGTAGAGTAGTAAGTTTTTATAGTTGTAACTTGTATATATTGTAGAAATTCTCATGAATAGATGTAGTTCATCTCCATAGAATTGACTTTTGACTGATTACTTGGCAACCTAATTAAATTAATCCGTGGATTTTACCTAGAGGAACAAAAATTATAAAACTTTTCTGCTTCTCTTTATTCTATAAATATTTTTATTATTTATCCTTCATAATTTTTATTATAAACTGATCTTCTTTCAAAGAAATCTTACTTTTTCTTTCTCATTATTTTCACATACCGCATACTTTTATTGGGTTTACTTGTACAAAGGCGAAATATTGATTGTTTTGGACCGAAGATAGCAGGGCGAGAACCTATTATCAATCTTAATTGTTCAAATATCAAATTGCTTTGTCAATGTTAATTATCTTAGTTCTTGGCATCACTTTAATCTTATCTTTCTTACCTTTCTTATATATTTAAATGAGCAATTCTTGTGTGTATTCATAAAATTTAGTATGTAGAGGATTTCGGGGGCAATAAATCTATCGAGCTAGAAATCATTTTTAGAAAAAGATATTTTATTTAAAAAAAAAATACAAAAAGGTGTTTAAAATAAGACTCTTCCTGACATCTATTGGCGAATAGTAATACTTTTTGCTAATTGCTTTTACTAATTGCTTTAATGACACAACAGAAGATGGCGTTCTTAAGTACCAGGAAGTCAATGAGTGTTTGTTTTGGGGTTAAACTAAAAAATTAATTTTTGATTTATGGATGAATATACCTACGCTATTTGAATTCCATTGGTCTTTAGACAAATTTTATGTTAAACTTCACGATAATTATTTAATTTATATTTTTAATAATATTTTAAAATGTATACTACTCTAGCCTTCCCGATTTTGAATTAAAATGAACTTATGGTTGTATACTTTCAATTATGTTTTTTATTTAATGTGGTCATACTCTTTAATAAACATCGAAACATATTTTAACAAAATTAAGATAAAAATTTTTTATTAACACAAAATAATATAACTTATTTTCGATACTAACAATTCCTAAATCCCGAGCAAAGATGGGTAAACAGATATTATGTTATTTAATTGGAGTTCGATTCAAAAATAAAAGTTTTTACAAAACAAAATGATAATTAATATTTGTGACATTTTAACAATGTTTTTCTTAACTACGAAAGTTTAAAGGTTGAGGTCATAAGAATTCATAAGAAAATAATGTTTTAACAAAACTATGTATAATATAAATAATGATTTTTTAACAAAGTTTAAGAATAGTCTTAAAATTCATAATTTTTAAGATCTGATGTTAGAAATTACAGCTATTTTTAGAAAGTAAATAACAGAGTAAACTAATACGAGAAAATGAAATCTTTGGGTCATTTAAATAAATAAGCACGTTTTATTTTTAATTTTTATTTAATGTATTTAAATGCTTCGACATAAAAAAGTAATACAAAATACAAATGTATTTAAATCAAAATACATGTGACATAATCTAGGATTATTTTAATAAATAGATTAAATAATATTTAAGGCGCTTCTCGAAGTCGATCTCTTCCGATCAGACTTCTGACGGGTCTTAAATGGAAGATGGCGTTATAACTTACTTAAAAACTAACATAAATAAAAATTCAAACATGGCAATAACAGCGAAAATGGCTAAATTACATCAAAAAATCAAATTGATAGTCCAGGATTTAGAAATTGAAACTATTTTTCATTATCAGAACATGATTTTAAGACTAGAAGATGAAATTGACGAAAAATTAAGTATCCTTTTTGATTTTTTCACCGTATTCCGGTTTCTTGTACTCGAAATTCTCGCTGACGCTTGTAGCTACTGATATTTCAGTGACTGGGTCCTGTTTTTCTGAACTATCTTCCTTTGAATCGTTGCCGAAATATATCGCTACGTCATTGATTTCAACTTCTTCAACTGGTTCAACATTTTCCAGACTCGGTGGTGGTACGACTATCGTGTGTGTGATAGAATTGTCAGCTCTCAAATCACAATCATGGTCGTGGCGGATTGCTTCTCGTTGTAATACGTGTTTAATATCCTGGGTTCCTTGAAACTCCTGGTCTTTTTGGGTCTTCGTTCTATCCACTGGTTCGTAACCCACCGGGAGAACTAGACCTCCTTCGTCTAAATTATCGTATCCGGAACCGCTGGCTTGGTAATTAAGGCTCTGTTGGTTCTGGTTATTTGAGTATGTGTTTGTTTTGAGCTCGTTGTAATTCTGTATGTTTTTGGGTGGGTTCTGTGATGGTTGTTCGATTGCTTGGAGAATACTCTGTAGCAAACCTTCAGAGAGGAGCTGTTCGTGTGGTATGCTTGGGCTATTCGACTTCCCTTTACCGTCATCAGAGGACTGTATTTGGACTGAATAGGTCTGGTCCTTACCTGGTATTTCCGAAGCAAATTGCGAGTACTGTGAGCTAACTTGATTGAAATTCTGACTGTTTGAAACTATTTTCTGTTGCAGTTGCTTCGTTTCTTCGCTGAGATTTTTAATTTTCTCTGAAGTGTGATAAATTTGATCGGACACGTATTGTAAAGAGTTCTGTTTCTGTGAATCCTTTTGGTCTCTGATAGATTTTCCTTTTTGTACGCTACCTTTGACCGTTTTTTCGTTTTCTATCTGATTTGGTAAAACCGTTTGTACTAAAGTGTGAGAGGCGGTGGAGAGATCTTTATTGTTGTAAGAAACCGATTCGCTTGAAGGAATGGGGATGTTGAAACCGTTTTGTGTTGACATGAGGGCATGATGATTGTGGAAGGCTGAGCCTAAAGAGCTTAAACTGGCGACGTAGCTCGAAGCTAATTCCGCCGGAATTTTCTCGCCTAACTTAGCAGCTTTAAGTATGGCCTCATGATACGGACAGTGTTTTAGAATGGCCGCGGCTTCTAAATTGGAGAGATTCGCTAAAACCTTTCCATCAATTGTAGCGGCTACCGCGTTGTCACTAGAATCGGATGTCACGTGATCAGATACGGTTAAAAGCGGAACAGAATACGAGTCGATTGGAGATCCGTACAGGTTGCTGGGCTGATGCTGGACTTGGAAGGTCAGAGGAGCTCCAGAATGAGGTAAACTGTATAGATTTGAAGGCTCAATGGATAAGGATACGCCATTAAGAGCTTGGCTTGAATGCTGGTTTATTTCTTTCACGTCTTTGATTGGTGGCGGCAAATATGCGGGCCCTTGTTTCACATGATCTATGTTGTGAGCGTCTTTGTGATGGGTCACGTGGCTGATCTGCTGAATGAGTCCTTCGGGGACAGATTCCCTGAATTTTATAGGATGTCTTGGAGTGTGGCCGCCGGTGTGAATGGAATGACCACCACCGGAAAATGAGCCATATGGTATAGGCAAGTTGGCGGGTAATGGCTTGGGTGGAGCACCGTATTGGTTCCCAGGAGGAACGCCGTATATTCCGGATGGTGGGATGAGTCCTTTAGCTCCTTGCTGTCTCAAGGATGGTGGGTAAGGTCCATTGGAAAGTGACTCCAGGGGCGGTGCGCTATAGCTATCGAATTTTCCAGGTATAGAGCCCTGGATAAGCGCTAAATCAGCATTATTATTTTCTGTATAATGAGCTTCGAAAACTGTTTTCGATTGATCGATATGGTTCGAATCGCCGCCGACGATAGCATTTAAGTCAATATTTGATAATGCGTCTTGGTGTACGTTAGAGTATCCTGATGAGATCTGCGCTCCAGAAAATTGTGATTGTTGATTCAGACTAGGGAGTGAATGGCCGTCTAGATTTATTTGTACTTCTTGAACGATAGGTGGAGGTGGACCGTATTGATCTAACGTTTCAATGTGACTCTGTCCTGCATTGTTATTTATTTCGAAATGCACGTTCTCTACAGATTGGAAAGGTTTTGATACACCAGGTATTGGTTTCCATCCATCGTATAAGACATGCGGTGGTGTTGGAGGAGCTGGAATACCCGGATGAGGAGGTCTTGGGTTCGGATCCGGTTGTGGAGGCCCGTAATGTCCGATACTACCTAGATCGTGTACTACGATCTGATCGTTGGGACCTACAGGGCCTAATGGAAGACCGGGAGGCCCGTAAGTGTCGGAAGGTATCGGGAATTTAGGCTTCAAGTTGCCAGGCAAACTTGTTATAGGCGTGCCATATATTGGAGCGGGTAAATTCAGACCTAAGTCAAAGTTAGCACCTAGACTTGTTCCTACGTTTGCTTCGAGACTACCAAAGTTTGTTTCAATCGTATTAAAGCTGCCGATATTTCCGATGCTCGCACCAACTATTCCCAGATTCTGTGGCGGAGAAATTGGTAAGTTGGGCACTGGAATGTTCTGGACACTTAAAGGAGGAGGTGCGAAGCCGAGTTTTGGAGGTCCGTACACGGGTTTGGGGGCTCCATAAACTGGTTTAGGAACACCATAAGACGGTTTCGGGAATGATATTTTCGGTGGCTTGAATGGGGGTCCGTAGCTAATTTTCGGGGGACCTTGCTTTGGTGGGCCATACGTCTTCTTGGGTGGTCCATAAATTGGTTTGGGTGGTCCATAGGTTTGTTTTGGAGCATGAAATTTGGGAGGTCCATAGATTGGTTTTGGTTTTCCCACCGGTGGGGGTGGACCTTCGTAGTTTTGATCAGGGAACACAACAGGAGCTGGGGGGCCGTACGCGCCGGGAGGCGTCTCCACGAACACATTGGTTTCTGGTACTCCGTAAACCGGTATTGGCAACTCTGCAACTGTGAAAAGTTATGTAGAATTATTATACTTAATGATTTGTCATAATAATTCACGTTATTTATTCTTAATTTAAAGGATTCAACATACTGGATCTTGATCAGATTAGTATTCATGTCTTTATTACAGAAAATATCAACAAGAAAGAACAGTGTGACATTAGTAAAACAACAAAAAAATTGTGATATTAATAATGATATTATTGAAGTACTCCTTCGTTGTCATTCAAAATAGAGCATACTGTCACTACTACATATGATTTTAGATACAATATATTTCGTTAGACATTATTTCTCCAAGCTTTTTTTAAAGTATAGATATAAGTTTATGAAACAATTAAATAATTTAAATATCCTTTGAGATCAATCTCAATTCTTCTTTTTAGTATATTGAACGCAACTAAAATCTTTCTGTCGATTCCAATGTAAAATTAAGAGAAATAAAGCTTCCCAATATAATTATAATACGAATATTTACCTTTTAAAATATATTCATCTGAGATTGATCTCAAAAAATATTATCATTTTTTTTGTACAATATTTTCTACCTACCTAGGTTTGGTATATTTAAAGGTGGTCCATAAGAATCGGCGGGAATTGGCTCTCCATAAGAATTTGACAAACCGGCATCACGTTTTTGATTTTGGGCACCTGTTACAAATATTGTATTAGATATACGATAATTACTGAAGATTTATAATAGTTTGTAAAGTTATATAGTTTTTGTTCGTGACTTCGTCTGCGATAATTTCGTTATTAGTAATATATGTATAGCTGACTGGCGAATTCTATGCCGCCTTAGAGGTCGTAAATAACCAGATATTAGAATTTATTAAGTATATTTTTCTTTTTCAATCGTATGTAAAGTATTCTATGACCTTTCTATGTTCTAATCTATCTCTCCACCAATCTTCATCTAAACCCGTACAGCCGTTACAGTTATAAATAGTGTAACTAACATGACTTTCTTTTATATATATAGATTTCAACTATATAGCATTTCACTGTTTCACTTATGGAAGGTGGAAATTAAGTTGAAGGTGAACTACTATCTCATTAGTCTATTCACCATTTTCGTTAAAACACAAATACCTATAGGTACTTATCCGTTTTTTTTTGTAATCAGTTTATTTGTTTTTAAGTTCTTGAACATGTTTTAATGATGGCCTATCTTATTTTGGTCTTAATACTACCATACTACTTACTACTATACATATATACATACTACTTTCCACCATATAATTCTTACCATTCTGCGTCGCTTCTGCCACCAAGTCTTGGTTATTGTCTGTGGAGATGAGCCCTTGAGGACTGTCGTCTGCTAAAACAGCCACAAACAGCAAAAACCACTGGAAAAGATAGAAAAGATAATTATCATATGATGAGACGAAACCTCTCATCATTCAATGTATTCACGGTGCGTGTGTCGGGTCCGTCGTTGTAGTGAGAGGAGATTCAACAGTGACTGGGACTTGTGACCCAGGAGTAGGTTTAAGGGACCCTATCTAACGTTAAACGATCACCTCCACTGTACAAGCTCCTCTCTCTACATAACTTAATGATTCTTTATGGCAATAAAAGAAAAAGTATTTAACTGATATGTTATGAGTATTGTCCCACAAAACGACGCCAAAATTGTCTCAATACATCCTACTAATTTTTAATGGAAAAAAACTTAAAAAATTCTGGGCAAAGAAGTCTTGATAGCATTTACATATATGTATTTCTTAACTTAAACATCTCCCAAAACCAAAAATAGACAAAAAAGAATAATTTATGATCATTTTTCTTTACTTATACACCAAAAGTAGAAATAATTACATTATTATAAAAAAACATAACACACAAAGTATAAACTATAAAAAATATATGCAACATTGGCATTCAATAATTATATACCACCATTTTGTCATAAAATTTAAATTCGCTTATGCCTTCTATTAATTTAATTTAACATTATTTTAAAGAAATCCTTGTGGTTTTTATAATTTCAGATGATCCAGTTTAGAAGTTAAGTGGTCACCGGAAAACATCTTTTTCAAATAAATATTTTTACTATTGCTAACTTTTAAAGTATAGTTAAAAAATATCATAATATTTGTATACGTTTTTAGATCAATAAAATCTGGAAAATTCACCTTTTTCGGTCTTCTTACTGTGGGTATATAACCTTGATAATTAATTTCATTCATTCTAAAGCGAATAGAATATTAAATTTTGTATGAAAATAACTTTTTATTATTAAATATCTTATTTAATATATCTTTTTAATATAATATGTAGTTGAATTCACAACAAAACAATTGTCTCCCACGATCATAAAATTTCACTTCCCACGATACTTAGCCGAAAAAGTACTTTTTATCATTGTAGTAAAAGTTTTGAGGTGTAAATAATATTAATTAAAACTTTAAATATACTTAATTATTTAAAGTTACTTAACATGTATAATATATAGTATATATACTAGTTCTTGCCCACGACTTTGCCGCGTTAGTTTCATAATTAGTAGTGTATAGACTGGGCGAACTCTGTTCCTTAAATACAGTAGATAAGATTTTGTATTTGATCAACTTATTTTATTTTTCAATCGTATGTAAAGTATCCTACGTCCTTTCTATGTTCTAATCTATCTCTCCACCAATGTTCATCCAAACCTGTACAGTCGTTAGAGTTATATATAGTGTAACTAACATGACTTTCTTTTATATAAAAATAACTTGCCATTCCTTGTAGTTAAATGACACTTATATGTTTTTGAAGATTAGTATTAGTGTAAATATTATATATACAAGAAAATTTTCCCAAAGAGGGTTGATGTCAGGCAGGCGCGTGTAAAAACAATTAGCCAAAACTATAAACATGTAAGGCAGACTCTGGCTAAAGCTTGGAAATTGAAATGAAGAAGAAAAATAATGTATTTTACATATATAAAAGTTATTTTTAATTAAAATAAACTGAAATTTAATACGGCATAGTTTACGCTAACTATTTTGAGTTTGTAAGTATTGAGGTTCTGGGAAATTGAAAACTGTGATGAAGATATCTGATCATTCACACAGCCTCTCGCTTCTGACCTATTGTATGTTATCTCTTCATTATTTCTTAGAAATGTATAACTTTTTATATATTTTCGTTTACGGCAACCGTGAGCGACAGATGAGATGAAAATCTTCATTATGTATTTGGGAGTATGTAGTTAAAATAATAAAAAACAAGAAGTATACAAAACTATTGTTTTCATTTAAATGAATATTTGCGAATCGTGTTACGCGGAAAAAATGTTGACCTAGTGATGGGCAATAATATTTTATATTGTACTAGTTTTTGCCCGCGACTTCGTCCGCGTTAATTTCATCATTAGTAATATATGTATAGCTGACCGGGCGAACTCTATTCCGTCCTAGAGGCCATAAATAATCAGGTTTTTCCTGTTTCAATCGAACAGAATGATTGACATATTAGTTAGTTGTCAAATCTAATGTCAAAGAAAACATTTGTATGGGAAATAGAAAAGGGCTGTTTTTAGTGTTTTTCCGAAAATGAATCAATTTTTCTCACCTTTTATACCTTCCCTGAACCTCCACGAACATTTCAAGACTAAGATAAGATAAATCCGTTCAGCCGTTCTCAAGTTTTAGCGAGACTAAGGAACAGCAATCCATTTTTATATATATATAGAAGATATTGTTGATTGGAACTTTAAATGCACATATACTCTATATATGTGGGTATTTTCAATATAATTGAGAGCGTGGGTTCTAAACCTGGCAAGTATAAGTGATGTTCCGAGTCATATGTACTTTATAAGAGTATTTAGACATCACTGACAGATGAAGGGAAACATCGTGAGGAAACATGGACTTATAATCAAATTATAAGTTTGAAATCACCAACCCGTCTTGAGCGAGCGTGGTGATTAATGCTCTAACCTTCTTCATCTGAAAAGAGGCTCAGCAGTGGGCTCTGATAGGCTGATGATGATGATGAATATAATTGTACTGCTATATATAATATTATAATAACAGTTTTTCTATATATTATATATATTAGGTTCATATATCAAGATAATCTTCAATTTGTCACTCTATTTTTATTCGTTTCAGTAAGTCTCTAAAACAAACCTCAAATTTGCCCCAACTTTAGCCTATAACTGGTATAATAAAAACTAACATGCTAATTTCATTTATACTAATTAAAATACACTTAATTTTACGAGCAAAGTCGAGTGTATACCTAGTTAAAATATACATACATTTCCGATAATCATAAAAAGCTTGTGAATTACAAAAAAACATAGGATGTGATGCAATATGCCATAGACAATGAACAATAGACATATTGACATCGATTTATAACGAGGCAACGATCCACTGATATACATACAGAGTGGATCGTGGAAATTGTCTATGACTAGACTACATATTGTAATTATAGTCACCGGTGTCCTAGTGGTTAAAAGGCCCGCCTCTCATTCACGAGGACGCGGGTTCGATCCTGGCAAGTACAAGTGATGTTCCGAGTCATATGTACTTTATAAGAGTATTTAGACATCACTGATTAATGCATTCCCAAAGAGGGTTGATGTAGGCAGGCGGACGGTCGTAAAAACAATTAGCCAAACTATTCACAACAGGTAAGGCAGACCCTGGCTAAATCTGGGAAATTGCCAGGTAGAAGAAGAAGACACTATATACTGTAATTACTGTGTATTTAAATGAAACTAATATTTTCGGATATACTACGCGATTTTATTATTGACTAGCTGACCCGGCAGACTTCGTACTGCCCCAATCAACAAATAAATTATTTCTTAATTATTTTAAGCCATAAATCTCCGTGTTCTGAAGTGCGACAGAATGATTGACATATTAGTTAGTTGTCAAATCTAATGTCAAAAAACCCGTTTGTATAGGAAATAGAAAAGCGCTGTTTTTTGGGTTTTCCCGGAAATTAATTTTTTTTTTCAGTTTTTATACTTTCCCTGAACCTCCACGAACATTTCAAGACTAAAATAAGAGAAATCCGTTCAGCCGTTTTTGAGTTTTAGCGAGACTAAGGAACAGTAATCCATTTTTATATATAGAAGATAGAAGATTATAAACTACATACTCCCGACGTTTCGGTTACTTTACAACTGTGATCATTAAGACGAGATATCTGTCTGATGATTAGTGTAACTTTCATTTTAACCGCAACATTCATATTTTTTGATCTTATTACATCCAAAAATATCTCAGCTTCAATTGAATAAGAGACGAAACCTCTCATCATTCAATGTATTCATTATGCGTGTGTCGGGTCTATCGTTGTAGTGAGAGGAGCTTCAACAGTGACTGTGACTTGTGACCCAGGTGTAGGTTTAAGGGCTAATAACTATCAACTTAGTTACTTTATATAACATGTTTAAATTAACATCCTTAGTAGTAGTTTTGTAGACTATAAACTGACGGTATAAAGTTTTTGATCATTTTTCATTAAACTGGGAATGATATTCATATATAAAATTATTTAAATAAAATATATATATGACCCTCTTTGGGAATGCATTAATCAGTGATGTCTAAATACTCTTAGAAAGTACATATATAGGACTCGGAAAAATCACATTGGTACTTGCCAGGATCGAACCCGCGCCCTCATACATCAGAGACCTATTAACCACTAGGACACCACTGACATAAAGATATATAGATATTTATAGATAATTGTAAGTTTTTTTATAATTTTCAACTGAAAATCATAATTAATATGCTTCATATAATAGTTTTATCAAAATTTGACTGATTGTCTTACCCAAATCGATCTCGGTATCTGAAACAAAGAAAAAACATTTATTATTACAATTAATTTACTTTAAAATACCACTTACACTGAAAACAATATTTAAATGAAACAAATATTTTCGTATACTACGCGTTTATTATATTAACTACATACGACAACGTTTCGGTTACTTTACAACTGTGATCATTAAGACGAGATTAATTGATAGTATACAAAAAATATTAGTTCCATTTAAATAAATACTCGGAAGTTAATTCTTTACTTAATGATAATTATATAAATAAAGAATTAATTGTTTTTCTTATATATTAAAAACTATATATACATCCGCAGTCTCTTAATAATAGCCCTAGTTCTTTTTAAAGGTAGAGAGAGGAGCTTGGACGGTTCCTTAAACCTACACCTGGGTCACAAGTCCCAGTCACTGTTGAAGCTCCTCTCACTACAACGATGGACCCGACACACGCACCGTGAATACATGGAGTGATGAGAGGTTTCGTCTCTTATTTTATCTTCTTATTGTAAATTGCTTACAAAACTTTTTCAGAATTCTTATAATTATTATTGATAATTGATATATAAAAAAACTGTATACTGTCAATTTGTTATGAAAATTTAATCTTTTAAAACGTCCTAACCTTACAATATTAAACTTAATCATAAATAATTTCGTTTTCATTACAGATAATCATCTAAATCAAATGAAACCAAAATATCTATATATAAAAGAAAGCATTGTTAGTTACACTATTTATAACTCTAACGACTGTACGGGTTTGGATGAGGATTGGTGGAGAGATAGATTAGAACATAGAAAGGACATAGGATACTTTAAATACGATTGAAAAACAAAAAATACTTAATAAACTCCAATATCTGGTTATTTATAGGCTTTAGAGCAGAATAGAGTTATCAGTAAGATATACATATATTACTAATGACAAAATTAACTCAAACGAAGTCGCGAGCAAAAACTAGTATTATATAAAATAAGTAAAGTTAATAATGTGATTAAAAATAAATAACCTCTCTATTAGAAGTCGGTTATTATAATATTTATTTCATTACCTGTCTTTACCTTCTGACATTCAAATACCTATTTGTTGCGTAAACTTTAGTGAACTAGTCTTACCACTTTCTACACATATTTTCACTTTTACTTCATCATATATATGAATAAATTAATATTTATGATACATATCAAATATATGTTATTTATTTTTACATATATATATATATATATGTTTTATTTTATGTTAATACTTGAGTTTTTCATTATCAATATTTTATAATAAAAATTATCCTTACTAATATTATAAATGCCAAAGTAACTGTGTCTCTCTGTCTGTTACGCTGTCACGCCTAAACCACTGAACTGATTTTAATGAAATTTGGTACAGAGATA